ATGCTGTGTTGTATGAATAGTTCTAAAAATGTCTTGAGTGATGTTAACAGTAGTGCCTAAGAAGCAAAAGGCTGCTGAAATAGCTCATTGATAAAGTTTTTTCAGGCTTTTAACGTAGGCAGGTTAGAAAAAGCCTAGATCATCAAAGTTCTTTTTTTTGCAATTTTAAAAGGGAACACACTTGAGACATAATTATGTCTTCTCATCAGTGAAAATGGTAGACGGCTAATAGAGGTATATTAAAAAGAGAAACACCTAGCTCAGGAGAGCGCAGCTTTTAAAATAAAAATTAATGGGGAAGTAGCTTGAATTTTAGAGATTGCCCTTTCAAAACATAAAAAAGAAATAAGATCTGAGCAAACCCTATAGCCTAGGAAAAGATGCCACTGGCAGAACTGTGAGAATTTTTTTTGTCTAAGAGTTAACGTGGGAGCATGTTGTTTGCCATGGTTGCCAGGGCTACCTGACACATGCACATTCAATGACTGTAGCAAATTGTGGCTTTTTATTTGTCAAGGAGCCATTAGGGAACAAACACCACAGACAGAACTTGCATATCACTTCATACATGATACTTCTGAATGATACAAATGTGATCAAGTAATACATGTACATGTGTCACGCATGTACATTATGGTCTGCCTCGTCTTCTGCTAGCAACAATAGATCAACATCTTCCTAGTTTTGTAAAAAAGAAAAAAAAGTTAGGAAGCAGTAGATCAACTCCAATGTAAGCTAAATGCTAAATACTGCTGCCATCTAGCAGCTGAACTTAGCCACTGTCCTAGAGGACAGCACAAGCAGAGTATCATATCCAGCATATCCAGGTTATTTCATTGGGGGCAGAAGTGCTTCTAATTACCTTTAAAGCCCTAAAGGGTTTGGATCCAGAATCAGCTACATCCTTCGCCACTACTCTGCTTTGCTGCCAAAGATGTGGAGAGGCTCATCTCTATGTCTCACCTATGAAGGAAGATACGTGTCTGTGATAACAATGTCTATGCAGCTCCTCTTCTGCTCAATAGTTCAATATTTATTCTAGCAGGTTTCTGCCTGGCCCGGATGATGTTTTTATCCTACCTACCTCTGTTGCATAATATTGTTTGATATTGTTTCATGACACTGTGAGTTTAATTGTTGACAGCTGCCCTGAGTAATAGATATGCACAAGAAGGGCAGGCTAGAAATTATGTTTGTTTTTTAAAAAAAAAATAACTTTTGTTCTGTCCCTGCATCAACAGTTCGTACTGTACAAAGTGTTACAGATTCCCATAATAAAATGTATTGTGGGATATGGAAAAGATTATTAGACATTATTAACAAAGCTCCAGTCCAGTTAATGCAAAGGAAATACTACTAAATTAACTTATCATGTTTTCACCTAGCAGTGGTTAGTTAGGCCATGGAATACCCAAATTCAATCCACTGAGCTCCCTGAAATATAGAGCTGGCAAATGTAACCACAAAGTGTCAAAATGTAATCCCATCCATGCACACACCCTCCAAGATTTGCTAATAAGTTACATTTTACGAATTGATGCTCTTGTTTTTGTTTTGTAAGCAGCTGTGTATGTGTTTTTTAAAAACCTATTATAGCAGGGCCTAAATGCCAAAATAATAAATATTTATCTGTACACATTTTCCTGTCATGGAACATCCAACTTCTACATACTATTAATACAATATAATTCACTTACATCTGTTCAAATCATAGTAATGGAAAAATCCAGACCTGAATGTTTTTACTTTTCCCAAGGGCATATGTCCTTACGTACTTCAGAAAAACTAATCTATGATGAAAACAAAATGCAGATTAGGTGCTATTCTTATATAAAAGATCACATTGACCTTTTGGGGAATTCAAGCTGTGTAAATATGTTGGTACACAGACAATATTTTCATTTCTCACTTAGCTAAATTACTTTCAGATTCAATTTAATTCTTCTACATCTTGACTAGAGTATGCTTGGCATGGGCACCTCCAATTATTTTTATAGTTCTACATGCATGTTTTATGGCAGGAGACAGCCACAATTTTTTAAGCAAAGCTGAAGAGCAGATGAAACAACTTGTTTTCAAATACAGGTGAACGTTTCACCTACAGCTGCTTGTATTGCACCTCTGAAAACTCAGGTTGCAATTTAAGCAACCAGCTTGTCTCTTCTGCAGAGCAAAAAGCTGTAATGAGAGCTTCAAAGAAATCTCAGGCTGCCCGAATTCTCCTACTATGTACATACAAATCATGGGATCATGTCCATGCACTGTAAAGATAACCCCCACTTCATGTTGGCACAATTTAAAAAAAAATATACTAGTAATATTTAACAATGCTTACATTGGGCTGAATTATATAAATGCCTTTGGAACTTTTCTATTTTATTACACCTTACATGATAAAGCAAGAAGTGTCAACCAGAAGTTACAACAAAAAAGTTTTAATAAAAATGTAAAAATCTACCCAGTGCCATAATACATAGGTTCTTTAAGAGTTATTATGCTCTGCTTATCCAAGAGGTTGAATCAGCAGAACAGTATCTTTGGACTTCATTTCACTTCTGGTAAAATAAAAGGGTGCACACCGTGAAGGATGAGATATGACACCTTCACATCTCAAACGACAAAAGGATAGAGCCTCCAAATTTCAATTGCTATGGGTCATGAACATAAGTAGTACTGTGGACTGGGAAAACTAAACCAATTTATCTACCAACTGAATGGCACGGCTGCCACTTCCTACACAATTTTGTTGACATCTAAATCCATTTCTCATGTGGAACAAGCAGGTCATGTATGATGTAACCACATGTGGTGTTGAATTTGAATCACAAGAGATTTGTATAGATTACCATTTAATTTTCTTTTTAAAAAAATATTATTTACATTGTAAATGCTATCACTTACCTGCATTAGAGAATGCACAGAAATCTGTACTAATTCCAGTAATAAATATCTGAAGTAATAAAAGCTGATGAAACATACCTAATACATACAATTTAACAATTTCAATGCAGAGATTATTTTTATTGTTAGAATAGAAAACAATGCTTAAAACACATTCCTCAAATTATAAAGAACAATACAAGACAGCATATATATGTCCAATACATCTGACATTACTCCAGCTATTTCACACACATTAATCTGCACTTCAAATAGAGTGAGAGCAGAAGCACAACTACTTAAAAAATCTAAACAAGCAAATTTATTGAGGTGCAAACAGTGATTTTTCCTTGCAATACTTATAAAAATGATCACTACTTATGATTCAAGACAAACTACTATACTATTCCATGCACAATTTAAAACAATTTCAGTTTTGTGATGTTTACACTAAATATTGAGCTATTCAATATATTTCAAATAAAAAACTGGATTTGGAGAGTTAACTGAGTGGGCGAATTGCCGCATTTCTGCTATTCCAGCTCCTTATTTTAGTAATTTAGTAAATCATAGTGAAAACCTATGATGTTGGGAGGGTTAGGAAAGTGCAAGCAAGATATAGCTAGCAGAATCTGGACAACTTAAGAACAGAACAAAACATATTAAAATTAAATTTCAAAGTGTTTGTGATCATGTCTCACCAGGTCTAGTGAAACTGAAATATTGCCCCAGTGAGAATATTGCTGATGGCATGACCAAGGCTTTCAAGTTTCAGAAACACGAGAAATGTGTTTGCAATTGAGACTGAATAAGCATACAGTGGTACCTCGGGTTAAGTACCTAATTCGTTCCGGAGGTCCGTTCTTAACCTGAAACTGTTCTTAACCTGAAGCACCACTTTAGCTAATGGGGCCTCCTGCTGCCATGCGCCGCCGGAGCACGATTTCTGTTCTCATCCTGAAGCAAAGTTCTTAACCCGAGGTAATATTTCTGGGTTAGTGGAGTCTGTAACCTGAAGCCTCTGTAACATGAAGCGTATGTAACCCGAGGTACCACTGTACTGTATAAGTTTTTTGTGTATGCTCTAGTTCCAATAAGGACTGAGGGGGATGTTGGTATATGTGAAACTAAAACTAGTAGTCATTCCGTATCTACACAGTATAATGTAAACAATATAGAAGCAGAAGGTCAGAAGCACGAGGTAATGTTAATGTGCAGTGTGTCTCTGGACCTAGATAAGACTGAAAGAGTTGAGTTTGTTCATTTTTTCTCACTGCTCTTTGTCCTGCTGCGAGGGGGAAAACCATCTCCAGATGAAGCATGCTAGTGACTGATGTATGGGTTAATGATGTACAAAATCATTAAGCTGTAAACCGGAAATAAACCTTACTGCCTGTACCGTGGGTGTGAAGTGAGTTTATTGCATTGGTGATTGTCTCCACAAAAGGCTTGACAAGGCTGCGCAGAGCGGAGCATGCAGGACACCTTGTGAGTTGGAAAAGATGCTCACAAATATTCAACAATCACAGGAGTCATAGGATTCTGCAGCTGTCTCCCTCTTGCAGGCAAAGTTGTCTGTCCTTAGGAGCGCCCTTCCAGCTACCATTGAAAGGACTGCTACTGTTGCAGTGGATCAGGGAATCAAAAGCCCACATTCCCTGGACACAAACCCAGGATGTAGGGTGGAGGGATATGTACACCACCTCTGGGCTCTGCTTCTGTCTCTCACCACCTCCAACCTTCTTCTCTGGGTAGCGAAGTACTGTCAGGGCTCAGAATCTGATAATTCTGTTGCCAGAGAATTTGTAATAACCCATTGACTGCTCTGTCCATGACTTAATCTCCTTTTTTTTGTTTTAAAAACAGCACTCCATATAATCCAGTACAGACCTATTACTTTGGTAGTTCGGTATTTCTGCAAACTAATGGCTACAATATAGCACAGTTAAGCAAACTAGGGCCCATTCAAATAAATGAGTTAAGTGCACTTAATTTTGCATTTAATTGTGGCCATCATGTTTATTGTGACATGCTGATATAGTTGCATAAAACAGTTCAACCGCATTACTGACCACAACCTAACATTTTTGGAGATTCTTCAACTTCCAAAATAAATATGATTAAGTCTGTGGTTCAATAAGTGATTCGATAAGTGATTCGTTCAATGGCTCGGTGCCATCAACTGGCACCTTATTGGCCTCTTCACTCTGAGTAGGTGGCTCAGTTATGGTATCCATCTGTTTTTTATTGGCCTCTTCATTATGACGACTTTGGCAATGGGTTAGATGCTTCTTAAAGCCTCTAGGAAAGTTTGATTCAAAACTGCAACGTGGACATTTAAGCAAACTCTGACCATGAGCAGCAACATGGTTTTTAAGGTGAGATTCCAAGAGAAATGCCTTTCCACATATGTCACACTTGTACGGACTATGAACATTATGCTTGTTAACCAAATGATGCAAAACAGCACCTTTTTTCATAGCCCGGCAGCAACAAATTTTGCAATAATATTTGCCTTTGCCACGCTTCATATATTTTGCTATTTCTTCTTCCGAGATAAAAGCTTCCTTTTCTTCAGTAAACTGCAGCACACACTGAGGCTGAGTGGGATTAGCTAAATCAATTTTAGTGTCTTTATTGAGGTCAGAAGTTTCTGGATCAAACTGTTCTTGATCACTGTTTGATTCCTGCTCCTTAACTTCAGAGGTATCCATTTCATTATTTCCACTCCCACTGTTATTTAGGTCCATATTTGCAGTTTCCTGATTTTCCTTCTTCGGTTTCTTCTTTGGACAAGAAAATAATACTTCTTTTGTAGCTTCCTTGGCCTGTATAAGCTGCTCCTTTGGAGCTAACAGACTACTGAATGGATTCTCACCTTCTGGCTGCTCAGTGAAGAAATCTTTACCAGATTCGGAATGTACCTGCAAGTCTGAAAAAATGGGTGCAGCAGACTGACCGAAGTCAGAGACAGCAGTTTTGTGAACTTCTCTGCCTGCTGTTTCCAGTGGTCTGTGGACATCAGAACCAAAGTTCTGCTTTGGATCAGAAGACATAGGAGTAGGTTTTTGGAGCTCAAGTGAAAGAGAACCTTTTGAAGGCTCAGCAAAGAAACCTTGCCGTTGTTTCTCAGGGGAACCAGGAAGTGCCTTCTGTGGGTCAGTGAAGCTTGCATGTTTCTGAATTTCAGGAGAAACCGAAGAAGCCTTCAGCACTTCATGAGTAAGAACAGGTGGTTTCTGAGGTTCTCCAAAGGGAACATGCTCTGCAACTTCAGGAGAAACTGCAACATGTTTCTGGGGCTCTGGGAAGAAGGCATGCTTTTGGGCCTCAGGTGAAACAGGAGGTGGTCTGTGAGGTTCAGAAAACAGGGCATGTTTTTGGACTTCAGGAAAAGACATGTGAGTTTCATGGAAGAATGGACGTTTTTGTACATCAGCAGAAGTAGGAGGAGGAACAGACTTCTTAGACTCTGGAAAAAGTGCCCGTTTTCGGGGTTCGGAAAACAAAGCACGTTTTTGGAACTCAGAAGAAACAAAAGGAGCAGGCTTCTGAGTCTCTGAAAAGAAAGGAGACTTCCGAGAGTCAGAAGGGAATTTCCAAGGGTCAGGAGACACAGGAGCTGGCTTACGTTGCTCAGGAAAGAATGAAGGTTTCCAAAGATCAGGTGACATTGGGGGACCAGACTTTCTAAGCTCTGTTGGCATGGGATGTGCAGAGGGTGGTACTGCTGGTGATGATCTCCATGTGTCAGGAGACAAGACAGGTTTCCAGCCTTCAGGATAAACAGAAGAAATGGGTTTCCAGGGCTCTGAGGAAACAAGACTAGATTTCTGAGACTCAGGCAAGGAGGTAGATTTCCAAGGCTCTGGCACAAACTTCTGAGGCTCTGGGGACATCATAGAACCTGGTCTTCGAGGTTCTGAGGCAGGCCTCCTAGACTCCATTGACATAGATGTGGGAGGTTTGGGGGACCAAGGTGACACAGTAATAGAAGACTTCTGTTGTTCGTGGGAAATATTAGGAGCAGGCCTCCAGGGTTCTGGAGCAATACTAGGAGTAGACCTCCAGTGATCTGGTATTGGTGGTTCAGGTTTTCTTAGTTCAGGGGAAAGTGCTGAAGCAGGCCTCCGCATCGGAGGAATATGCCTGCGAGTTTCTGAGGATATAGCCGATGTAGATTTCTTTAGCTCAGGAGACACAGCTGGAGAGTGCCTGCGGGGCTCAGGAGACACTGCTGGAGAGTGCCTGCGAGGTTCAGGAGACACAGCTGGAGAGTGCCTGCGAGGTTCAGGAGACACAGCTGGAGAATGCCTGCGAGGCTCGGGAGACACAGCCGGAGCAAATTTCTGTGGTTCAGATGCAGCCACAGGTGGAGATGCAGGCACAGCAGACTTCGGAGGTTCTGGGGATACAGGTTGTAGCGGTTTTTGTGGTTCTAGAGAAACAAGTGGTGCAGGCTTCTCTGACTCTGAGATAGATACAAGCAGTTCTGGATGTACATTAGAGAAGGGTTTTTGTGGCTCAACATATGTGACTGTGCCAGGTTTCTGTGGCTCAGGGGAGATAGCAGATACAGGTTTTGATACATCTGAGGACTCCACTGGAGTGGGTTTCAGGGGCTCTGGAGCCACAAAAGGGACTGCTTTCGATGGCTCTGATGACACCACTGGAATAGGTTTTGGAAGCTCTGATGATGCAACAGAGATGAGTTTCTGTGGCTCTGCGCATGCAACTGGAGCAACCTTTGGTTGCTCCATGGATACAACTGAGATGGACTTTGGTATCTTGGAAGGTAACCCAACGTCAGGCTTGAGGGCTTCAGAGGGAGCCAGCTTCTGAGATTCGGGAGAAACAGTGGGTTTCAGTGACTCAGGAGGCGGAGAAGACTTCTGAGGTTCCACAAACAGAGGTTTCTTTACAGTTTCTGCGCCTGTTGCTAACAAATCTTTTTGCTCTTCTTTCCATTTGTCAGGCATTGCATGATGTGCTGTGATGTGATAATAAACATTGCAATACATTTTGCTGGTAAAAAAACATTTGTGGCAGTGAAACAACTTCGCACTTTTCTGGTAAAAAATAAGTTTCCCCAGTCCTGCAGTATCCATTTCATCACAAAACTCGGGGTGGATAGTACCCATATGAATCTGTATGTTTTCATAGTCAGACCCTCTGAAACTGCAGTGATCACATTCCAAGCGCTCTGTTGTTTTACGCAGGATCTTCAACATGTCCATTTTTCTATTGTCAACTTGCATAACACTACACATGTTTCAGACTGTAAGCTCCAGTATTCCTGAAATAAAAGTTAAAAAGTTAGCACATAACATACAGAAAAGTTTGTTCTTATTAAAGTAAAATTAACTAAACGAACACTCAGCTGAATAATTATATCTCCTAAGAAAAATCAAATCATCTAATCTTGTTAAGCTGTATATCACAATCTTCCACTTCGGAGGGAAATCACCCTATGTACTGAATATAAATCTCTTCATTGTTTACAAAACCATCAGCAGTTGCTGAGAGCAATTTAATCTGTTTACCAATTCCAGATGGTTCTTTCTGTTGCAGAAAGCCTAACAAAACACACAATCTGCAGAGAATATCCTGCTAGTTCCAGACCCTTTTATTTAAATCCTACAGGCAAATTCCAATCGAATGGAGCTAGCAAATATATGGGTTGTGAATCTGGCTTGAAGTGAGCTGATCTTCCTGATTTCACTATTAAATTATGCTGTATTCTTCCTCATTCTGTATACCAACTAAACCAGTCAAAACCCAGAAGGGTCATTACATAGTAATGTAGACAACACTTGTAAGGTACGGAAAAATAATTTTTATTATGAATATTTTGCTATGTGCCAGTAACATTCACTCTTAAAAGGGTTAAACTTATAGCTCTTTGCAGGTGTTACTATCTCCCATGTACAGAAACACGGAAGCAAGGAAATGAGCAATGCAGATAAGTCCCACTCCCAATGCCACACACTCCATCCAGTGCTTCCCCCAAAACATATGCATATAGCATAGACAGCTGGAGTGGTGGGGTCTTAGTCACAGCTAGAGCAAGTCAAACCATAAGCCCAGGTTCAGATGCAATGCTATGTCAAAGAATGACTTTGTTTCGGAGGTAGCATGGAAGCAGGAGGCCTGGAAAGGAGCACAGTGACTACAATCTTCCCCCTAAGGTAAAGGTAAAGGTACCCCTGGCCGAACGGGCCAGTCTTGACAGACTCTAGGGTTGTGCGCTCATCTCACTCTAGAGGCCGGGAGCCAGCGCGGTCCGCAGACACTTCCGGGTCACGTGGCCAGCGTGACGAAGCTGCTCTGGCGAACTGGCACCAGAGCAGCACACAGAAACGCCGTTTACCTTCCCGCTATAAAGTGGTACCTATTTATCTACTTGCACTTAAGGGTGCTTTCGAACTGCTAGGTGGGCAGGAGCTGGGACCGAACGACGGGAGCTCACCCCACCGTGGGGATTCGAACTGCCAACCATGCGATCGGCAAGTCCTGGGCGCTGAGGTTTTACCCACAGCGCCACCCGCGTCCCTAATCTTCCCCCTAGAAACCTGCATATTTTTTCATTCATGCTAAGCCATGGGGTCACAGTAACCTTCATTCACTATTTCATCAAAAATAAAAACTAACCAGAACTTTTTATTTCCATGTTCACTGCTACATGGGACACCCCAGGATGCAACCTTAATGCCATTTCTCAAGGTACCATATACTACTCAGAGTATTTAGAATATTAAAATATTTGACGTTGAAACTATTAGCAATGTAGAAGCACATTGACTCCATAGCTTCCAGGAAGCTAGTACTGCATAGTGTAGCAGGAAAATAATCTGTGAAACAGAAGCCTCCAGTCAAAATCTCAAATAAGCCCAAACTCACTGGATATTTTTTATTTCTTGGCCCACCATCTGCAAATGGGGATACGTGAGAACATAAGAGGCACCCACTGGATCAGGCCAATGACACATCCAGTCCAGCATCCTGTTCTCAAAGTGGCCATCCAGATGCCTGTTGGAAACCCCAAAGCAGGACCCAAGCACAAGAGCACTCTCTCCTTCTGCCAATTCCAGCAATGGGTATTCAGAAGCATTATTGCCTCTGACTGTGGAAGCAGAGCATAGCCATCATGGCTAGTAGCCATTGATCCTCTTTTAAAGCCATAGTACTGGCTTGCCTCACAGGATTATTAAGGACTACTGAGATAACGCATCTGAAGCACACTGAACACTAAGGAAAAATGATGCATAAATACAAACTATTAAATATTTAAATATAAAATACTGTTTTCTTGATGACAGATAGGTGTGAAGCCATGATTGAGTTTTCTTAAGACTGGCAGGTGCATACACTGCAAACATATTTATTAGTGAGGACCACAGTTCACAATATATCTCTTCTCCTGCAGATATTGTACACATCACTCCTCACCTACAGATATGACCCTTAAGAAATTGAGACTTGCTTTAGAAAGAAGTCCAAAGTATATCACGCTTGGGTGACCTCTGGAAGTTATTCTACTGGTAGTTATTTTTACCAGTGCCTTGGTTTATTTTTAATTACAGAATTTTATTTTGATTGTTTTTATGACTGTCACTAGTCACTTCAAACATTTGGAGAGGCAGCATGTAAAATGTTAAACAAGCCGAATACAACAAGGTGCTAGACTGCATTTTCTATCCTACAAGCTTTATTATTACATTATTGAAGTTAATAATAATGTTTTGATGTTGGGCTTTAAAGTATCTTTATGTCTCAGCACAGGTTGGTCTCTTGAAATGAGCTGAGAATAGAACACCCAAATAAAAAGACCCCATACTGAAAGATCTAGTTTCACAGAGTTGGGTTCTAATAAACATAATGTCACTCAAAACCAAGAATCTGAATCCCTTTATAAAATGTATATTAGGGATTCTGACCCTATAATTTTATATTAGAAACATGTCTTAGGAAAAATTAAAGGTTAAGTCTCAGAATCAGTCCAAGTCTCAGAATCATAAAGTGAAATGATTGTACTATTTGCTTTTAATAAACAATAGTATTTATTTAAATGTTTTTAAATATTTATTTTTATTATGTATTTTGGGTTTTTATATTGTTATTTTATGTTGTAGCTGCCCTGAAACCTGTGGGTATAGGGTGGTATACAAATTTAATTAATAATAATAATATGAAATACTAACATTAATATAATGTTCCTCCTGTGGCACAATGGGTCAGTGCATTTGGCTGTTAACCAGAAGGCTGGTGGTTTGTGCCCACCCAGGGACAGCTGTGGGCAGGATTGCTGCAGGGGGCTGGACTAGATGACCCTTGGGGTACCTCCCAACTCTACAATTCTATGATCTGTGTCTGTTCGCCCATAGCAGTACTAGTACTTCATGATACATCAGGAAATAAAAATGGTTTGGGAAGTTACGGTTAAAAACAAAGCACATGTAACAACTAAACATAAGATTTTGTACTAACCGACTGGGCTGAAATCTCCCCTCATCTAAGAACACCACATATTTACTAAAAGAATCAGGGCACTACACTAGGAATATTTAATAGGATTAGATGAATGGTATGCCAAATGGTAGCCTAGTACATGCTGTCGTTACTGAATGCACCAAAGCCAACCCCTTTCAAGAGTCACCTCATGCTGAAAAATGAATTCTACTCTTCCTACCCGACCCTCTATTCCACCATTCACTCCGCCTCGTTTCCAGCGTTCCTGGTCCTGGTTTCAGAACATCACCTCTCCACAGGCAAGCATGTCACATCAGAAATCACAATGCAACTTATGAACTTTCTTTTTAAAGTTTTGATGGGGCTACTTGTATCTGTCCTCAACAGATGAACAAGCATCAGCCAAACCTTTCAGTGTATACAAACTATCTGTTTGGTTATTTGTTAAATTAACTGCTTCCAGCCTCTGGAAACAGCAAACAGAACCACCTTAATAAAATGGCAGTACAGTTGTACCTCGGGTTAAGAACTTAATTCGTTCTGGAGGTCTGTTCTTAACCTGAAACTGTTCTTAACCTGAGGTACCACTTTAGCTAATGAGACCTCCCGCTGCTGCCGCAGCACGATTTCTGTTCTCATCCTGAAGCAAAGTTCTTAACCTGAGGTACTATTTCTGGGTTAGCGGAGTCTGTAACCTGAAGCATCTGTAACCTGAGGTACCGCTGTAGAATATGCTTTCCATGAGACTATTTAAGCAATGATATTTCCACCAACAGAATAAAACATGTCTTGAAATGTGCATCCCACTGCTGCAGTTAGGCGGGGGAAAATCCAAGTCGATGTTGGCATTACACCAAGGATGGGGTGGGTACCTGTGGCTCTCCTGATGCCTGTGGCTCTCCTGATGACCCAATGGGGCCCGATAACCCCCAGGCGGGAATTACAGTGGTACCTCGGGTTACATACGCTTCAGGTTACAGACACTTCAGGTTACAGACTCCGCTGACCCAGAAACAGTGCTTCAGGTTAAGAACTTTGCTTCAGGATGAGAACAGAAATTGTGCTCTGGCGGCACCGCAGCAGCAGCAGCAGGAGGCCCCATTAGCTAAAGTGGTGCTTCAGGTTAAGAACAGTTTCAGGTTAAGAACGGACCTCCGGAACGAATTAAGTACCTAACCCGAGGTACCACTGTACTCCTAATCCTAAATAACTGAGCCTCGTAGTCCAGCCTTCAGGAAACAGCAACGACCTGCTATTGCGCATAAACGTTGAGAGCTTAGGGCCGACGGCAAGCACAGTTGAACACGGGGGGGAAAACAGAAACGGTTTGATCGTGTGCACGCACGAGCTGTTTAACAAGTCTGCCAGCAACAAGCTCTTTACAGTGAGGGGGAGGTATCAGTGGGGGAGGGAGTGAGGGGACAGACAAGAGGAGCTGTGTGTGCGCGCGCCCCCCCCCGCGCGCCCCCGCGGAGAACGGGAAAAGGGAACAGGCAACCGAGCGCGCGCAAAACGCTATGTGAACGGAAAGGGGGAGGGGACAAAAGGCTACTGTGGTACGTTAAAAAAAAAAAGGGCGGGGAAGCGAGCCGAGCTTTTCACACATGAGGTGAAAAGACGTCCCTGTCCGTTACCCTATTAAACTGGGCGGTAGAGGTGGGGGAGGAGAAGGAGAAGGAGAAGGAGAAGGAAGGGGGGTGCTGAAGAAACGGCAAAGTACCTACCCGGGAGAAAACAACGGCGACGGAGAGAGAGGCGCTACAATGGCGGCTGCTCTCACAAGCCAGAGAGATGCGGGAGACTGTGGCGCTCGCGAGGGGGCGGGGGAGGCGTCGGCGGCTGAAGGCGCCAAGCGACGGTACTGAGGCGGAGCGGTGGGTAGGCCGCGCGGCCACACAGGCGCCCTCTCATTGGCTCGCGCCGTCCAGCTGCTGCCCAACTGCTGCTTGAGTTCGCCCCGCTCCGCCCCCACCTCCCTGCTGTAGAATTCGGCGCAGGCGCGTGGCGGCGAGGAACGTCGTTGGAATGACGCTGACGGGGAGGGAAGAGATTGCTGGAGGCGCCATGATGCCTCCATCTTCCCGCGCTTCCCGTGAGGAGGAGATGGGAGTTGGGACTCCTCCGTCGTGGTGTTTACCTGACAGAGATTGCATGCTGCTTAGTTCTCGTGACTAGGTAGTCATCCTACAAGTTGGGGGCTCACGTGATTGGAATTAATTAATAATTATAATATTGTTATTATAATATTAATTAATAATTATTATAATATTAATTATATTATAATATAATTTCTCCCCCGGGCATTTGTGTGTTTTTTTGTATGAATAATAATAGAAAAGCAGAAGGTTGGCTCTTGGTTCTCTGATGTGCTATTTTTCAGTTTCCAACGAAATGCAGGCGAGAACTAGACCTAAATTATATGGCAGCCTCTCAATATGTCACAACCGAAGGGAAGGTTACCTGCATTCACCAGCCTGCTGAGGAAGCCCTGGGTTGCAAAAGCATTTGTTGCATTTTGCAGAGGATTCTGAGGAATGGGCATACCTTTACATCCTTTCATTTGTATGCCACCTTAAAACCATGCTCAAGGCTGCTTACAACATTTTTTAAAATTACAGTGGTACCTCAGGTTAAGTAAATTCGTTCCGGAGGTCCGTTCTTAACCTGAAACTGTTCTTAACCTGAAGCACCACTTTAGCTAATGGGGCCTCCTGCTGCTGCGCGCTGCTGGAGCACAATTTCTGTTCTTATCCTGAAGCAAAGTTCTTAACCTGAAGCACTATTTCTGGGTTAGCGGAGTGTGTAACCTGAAGCACTATTTCTGGGTTAGCGGAGTGCGTAACCTGAAGCGTATGTAACCCGAGGTACCACTGTACTTGATTGATTGAATCTTTATACAGCCCTATACCTGGGGTTCTCAGAGCAGTTCACAGAATAAAATCAAGATATAAAACCACAAAATACATAATAAAAATAAAAAACAACAACCCAATAGCCCCCCTAAAAAACACATTTTAAACATAACCAGGGTTGTCATAAACACTAAATGAAACACCAAAAAGTACACAGCCAAACTGAACGATTTCCACGTAAGTCATAAACAGATCTAAAACAAAGATACAAAAAATAACGGGAACAAACTCCCCTAAACTATACCTCAGCCCAAGAGTGTTCAGCAGCCTCGGCTTTTGTAGCTGAAGTCAGTCTGGGCCCTGGCATTTGAACTTCGTATATAAATAGCACATACATGTGTGTTACATTTCATTTGTTGCGGGAGGGAAGGCTCCACAGCTTTTCTCCATAATGAATACAGTGTCTAAAAATATATATACACACTAGCAGGCTTGTACCCAGCATTGCTTTGGAACTCTAAGAAACCGAAAAATCTGTGAGGTTTTGAAAGGTTCAGTCTTGATTCAAAATGGTTCCCAGTTGTATCCAAACATAACACAGATGAAAACCTTGATCTCAGGAACCACAACGCTAAATTTGGTTAAAATTAGTGCGATTTTGAAAGGCTCAGTCTGCCATCTTGATTCAAAGTGGCATGCAATAGTATCTAAACGAATAAAAAACCCTGCTCCGTATCTCAGGAACTATGCAAAATTTGGTTATAATTTCTTAACAGCTGTCCAAATGCATAAGACAAACAACCTTTCAATATATATTAAATATTTGGCAGCTGATAATATTACCTGAAAATAATCATGCATCTGATGAATTAGAGTCTAATTCCTAAATGCTTATACCTCAGTAATAATAATAATAATAATAATAATAATAATAATAATAATAATAATTTATTTATACCCCGTCCATCTGGCTGGGTTTCCCCAGCCACTCTGGGCGGCTTCCAAAAGAATATTAAAATACTGTGATATATCAAACATTAAAAGCTTCCCTAAACAGTATTCCTGTTAAGTTCTTAAGGTGCCACAAGACTATACATGTATTCATTACACACACACACACACACACACACACGTTGATTCCTCAAAGTGCAGTGTTTGCTGACCTCTACCGGCTGATAACCTAAAAACAACAGTAACAAATCAGCTGAAAATTTGAAACATCCTTATTTGTATGGGGAAGAAATAATATATTTCTGCAACTAAAATGTATAATCTGGTGTTCTTATGTTACACAAAAGGAAACTATTTTTATTACTTTGTTGTGTTGCTGTTGCTTTTTTTTTTTCTAAACCATGCTGTGATTTATTATTTCTGCTACAGTGGTACCTCAGGTTAAATACTTAATTCATTCCGGAGGTCCATTCTTAACCTGAAACTGTTCTTAACCTGAAGCACCACTTTAGCTAATGGGGCCTCCTGCTGCCGCTGCGCCGCCGGAGCACGATTTCTGTTCTTATCCTGAAGCAAAGTTCTTAACCTGAAGCACTATTTCTGGGTTAGTGGAGTGTGTAACCTGACCCGTATGTAACCTGAAGCGTATGTAACCCGAGGTACCACTGTACTTTGAGTGATCTACACATAAAGGAGCATCTTTCCCATTATCAACAAGCAGGTAAGGCCTTGCTTGTAGTGCTATTGACAGATGTGATGTGATCTGTGCAGTGCTGCAGTGCAGGGCCTCCTCTGTCATGGTGCCTTGGTTATGGAATTCGCTTCCATTAGAGACACATATGTCCCTCCACCCCATTGGTTGCTTTCAGACGTCAGGTGAAGATGTATCTGTTACTTTGAGTGTGGATGAGTTCAATAACTAGATTATCTGTTTTAAGAGTATCTGTTTTATTGAAATGTTATTGTCAATGGGTATTGGTTTTGTGGTTTTAACATACCTATTTTGCAAGGCTTTTGGTACTTAGCTCTGAAGGATATTAGTAAGAGGATTATTAACCATATTGAATCCTCCACAAATCCATGTGTGTAGGTTAACACAAAGAAAAATGGTGTGTACCTGTTTTTAATATGTGGGGCTTGCGCATAAAGTAGCAGAATTTACATTCCATCATTAGGCAGATTTTGTGAAGTATAGGAATAGGTTTTTAACTTTTTTAAAAAAACAAACAAAAATATTTATTATAGTCCAGCGCATTAGGGCAGCTGGCTCCCTTTCCCCCTTTTTCAATGAAACAGACCACAGACTACAAGGTAAGTTTTTTAAAAATTACTTACAGTTACAGAGACTTGCATATTCCTTAGTAACAACAATAAAATGCAGGAAAATTTTCTTAAAGGTTGTGTTACCAATATATTAATGATTTTAATTACTACTACTATTTTATTATCTTTGTGTTGTGTTTTAATATGGTTGTTATATATTCCTGCCTATAATAAATAAATGACTAATAAACTGAAGTTGACTCAATACTGTATAAAATAGAAGTTTTTAATAGGCAGCAGCTACTACATACTAGATGTAGGTTGCCTGCTTGGGTGGGGGCTAAAAGTCACAGCTTGGCCATCAGAAGCTAGCCAGCGAACGAGGTGAAAATCTGAGTTTTTGCAGCTTGTTGTTCTAAGGCTGTCTATTTTTGGGATGACGACAACAACAACTGATGTTCCTTTAACAAAATTCATTGTGTGAATTAGTTAATGATTGCTTGTTTGATTTTGTATGCTCAGTTTTGAAGCCTAGAAAAAAACAGATATGTTTTTGTTTTTTTAAAAAGAAAGAAAAATAAAAAGTGCTGTCTTCTTCCAAGGTAATTGACTCTCTGGCATCTGTTATACTACTTCTGGAAAGTGGGGAGTGCAAAACATGCTTATGAAACCAGTGGGACTTGAAAAAAACAATGCATGCATAGAATTAGGCTGTGTTTTTTGTTTGTTTTTAATATTATCCTCCTGGTGATATAAGTATTGAACACCTGAGTCCTCCTTGGGTAAAGAACCTGAGTTCAGGAATGCAAACACTAGCCATGTATTTATAGAGCACGTGGAGTGGGCTGAACTCAAGTCCTTCTCGTATAGAGTCCATAGAAACAACCTTGGGAGTCTGTGATCTCTATTACAAGCTGAAAGCAAGTAGACAGTGTCAAAATGACTTCCCTGCTGCAAGAGAAACTCTACGAAGCTCACACTCAGGCACCTCCTCCCAGCAAAGACTTCCATCACTTGACCATCACAAAAAATGAGGTAAAAAAATAGATAGATTTATTGCTCTCCCTGGTTGGAATGTGTTTCACTGAAGAAAGTCCAAGAGAGGTGAGAAATCTGCATTTGTTGGATAGCTGATAAAGGCACAGGATCTCTGCCAGGAAGGAAAAGGTGGGCAACCCCAAGCATGGTTGTTCAGGCAGAACCTAGGGAAAAGCAAGGGAAAAGCAAACAAATGCTAGGGAAAAGCAAACAAATGGTGGTAATCCTATCATTGTTTGTTTTTCTTTTTTTAAGAAATGCAATTAATTTATGCACAGATCTAGGTCATTACAAAGTCCTGCATTTTCTGCTTTATATCTGGACTGACTAGGCTTTTGACAAAATAAAACAGGACATAATAATGCCCAACCTGACTCATTATTTTAAACCTGAATGTTTTAGGTTATCTGGCAGTCCTGGAGGATTACATTTCGACCAGATCGAGAAAGGATTTGCCCAAGAGAAGTGAAGAAACCCCATAAAGATTTTCTCTTGGATGAACCATTACACAGCAAGTATTGAGTGGGCAAAGAAATAACAGAATTTTGATTACCCACCCCTCTGAAAAAAAAGTTGTTGTACTGTGTCTCATGGTCATATTCCCGCTTTTACAACCTAACCATATGCATGTTGACTCTGAAATAAACCCCAGTGAATTCAATGGGACTGTCTTATAACAGACTGATCCTATGTATGTTTACTTGGAAGTACATTGCATTGTTGAAGAGGATTTACTCTCAAGAAAGGGTGCATAGGATCACACAACCTTGGGATGAATATTTGGGCTGCAGTCCTGGCATACTTCCATGGCATGAAGTGCCATGAAACTCAGTTTGGTATTACATCTGAATAAACTTGCTCAGGATTGGATTTCAGGTCTTAAATTTCTTTTGACTTTTCTTATTAATAAACTTTGGCCGTGCAGGTGGAACATTCGTAAAAGTGAAACACTGAATTCCATTCCACTTACTGGGAGTAAGACCCATTGAATTCAATAGGACTTATTTCTGGGTAGACACAGTTAGGATTGCAGCCTTGGTTGTTTGTGAATAGTCAGAGTTACCTAAATGCTCAAAGTGCACTAGAAACATAAAGGACGCCTGGATGGTTAAATCCAGTTAAACTTGACTATAGGGTGCGGCGCTCATCTTGCTTCAGACCGAGGGAGTCGGTTTTTGTCCACAGACAGCTTTCTGGGTTATGTGGCTCTCATGACTAAACCACTTCTGGTGCAACAGGACACCGTGACAGAAGTCAGAGTGCATGGAAATGCCGTTTACCTTCCTACTGCAGTGGTACCAATTTATCTACTTGCACTGGTATGCTTTCGAATTGCTAGGTTGGCAGTTTGAAACATAAAATGAGATCACAGGAGCGTAATTGAAAACCTCAGATAATTCCTGAGTAGTCCATTTCATTGTTTTTATTTTTGTATTTATATTTCAGATTTTCAATGGTTTTGTTTGTTTATCTGCCTTTACATTCCTTCTGGGGATAGAGAATTGAAACTACAAATTATGGGTTAAGAAGTCAGTCTGAATTTCAGATCAATATTGGAAGGCTAATGTAAATAAACTGGATGGTAAACAATTGAGAATGACTGCATTGGGCTCTCAAAGTAAAATTACTTATTAAAATGCAGGGGGAGACAAATACACAGTGGTTAAACATACTAAGTTGCAGCATTAAAATACTTTTAAACAAGTGAAAAAGGAAGCTAGTACTAAATGTCAAACTTACATGAATACTAAAAAAGGGTTCTTTTTTTCTCCAAGTGTGCGCTATTGATGGACCAGGTCTATAGAAATTATCGTCCAATATTCCATTCTGTAGGGCAGGGAATATGTAGCCCTTTAGGTGTCATTGGATTCAGATTCTCATCAGCTGCAGCCAACATAGCCAGTGGTCTGGGATGATGGGAGTTGTTGTCTAGGAGCATATGGCGGGTACCATGTTGGCTACCCCTAATATAGAGGATTATTTTTTTATAAAAACCCTGCTAATTCCTTGTCACCTACTAAATCAGTTTAATTATTTCTATTTAGTTAGAAATTATACCCCATGCTAAATGGAGTTATCCCTGCTCAGCAGTTGCATTATTGACAAAAGAGTTTCACTGACAAAGTCCCAAGGAGAATGACATCAAGACCTACAGTGCATTGGCTTACTTCCTTATCTTCCTGTTTCCTGGCAAATAGCATAGTATTGCAATATGCTGAATAATGTTATCAACCAAGGTCATGCTATACAGTAGAACAGAACATTTAGTCAGAGAAAAACAGAACATCTTTAGCGGATTTTTTAAATGTAACCCTCAATTTGCCAAAAAAATCCATCAGTAGCCATATCGAGCCATATCCCTGCTGTCAGGTAATGCTTAGGCGTAAACTAGGCATAAACTAGTCTTGCTGCAACTGATAATCTCTCCTCGCTTCTTGGCTCAGTGATGTTGGGAAAGATGAAGTTAGTGAGCAGGGAATTTCTGAAGGAAAATGAAAATGGGAGGTGTGCCTTAATGGATTGTTAGCTCCATTGCAATCCCCAATATGTAAATCAACTTTAATTTTTATTCAGTGGGAGAAATATGTCTTATAGGATAAAAAGAGCTTTAAAAGTCAAATCTCTACATCAGTTCTTACAACCACCAGTGACATAATGTCAGGGCAGGTGTCATGTCCTCTGCCAATTGCATGACAGGCTGATGCTGCATGCATAACTCCATCCAAGTCGCTGCAAGCACCCGTGTTGCAGCAGTGTGTGAACAGTCAGTCCAGGAAAAGTTCTGAGTGGCACTAGCCTTGATACAATCACCTGGGGCTGAAAAAAGCCAACTTGTAAACTACCCAAATAAACAGATATAACCAGTGCTTTTTTTCTTTAAAAATGTTTGGAGGTACTCTCATTTTCCTATTCATATCAGAATACTGCCCCTCAATGAGGCCAAACTGAGATTCACAAAATATTTAGGGGTATGCATACTTCTGTGTCCCCCCAGAAAAAAAGCACTGGATATAACATTGACTTTTGAGTACACACTTAACCAGCATAAGCAAACCATCTTGGGATGGTTACCATTTGATCTCAATAGGGTTTTCATTGGTTTGTTTTGGCAAGTTAACACTAAACCTTTTTTCTTTCTTGATATTGTCACCACTTCTCCCTTTACCAAATGCCCATTGCACATGGCTCTTCCATGACATTTGTAGAATCAGATCTTAACTCTGACTTAGAGTACTTCCAGAATGTCACTATTTTCAGGAGGGATTCAATCATATACTAGCAAATTAAAGTTGATTTGGAACTTTTGTGTAACATACCTGCTTTGTCAGAGGATTGAGTTTTTTTGTGGAAAGCATGGGACAACTCTTTCTTCACCCAGTGCCATCCAATCTCCCCACAAACCAATCAGGATGAAGACTTTAAAAGAGGTTGTCTGGAAGTGGCCTTAGTTGCATATTAAGCATCAGTTGGATGTACTTTGAATGTATGGTACAGATCTGCCCAATCTCTCATTTTTTTCCATGGAAATATTTCACACTAATGGAATGCAGTGTTAACTGCCAAGCAGTTAGTACATTTACTCCATAGGGTTAAATTTAATTTTGTTTTGTCCCCTGTTGCTTTTTAAGACATTCATTCGTTCTATAGACTTAGCTGTTTGTTCTGGTTATGTACTTAACGAATAGTGCTAGACCACATGGTGTGGTAGCTATGGAGAAATCCATTTATCATTCCTAATACCTTAAGCACACACAGCAAGCCTTCGTGCCTTTCTGATTAACATAATTATACTTCAAGTCAATTTTTATTTATATTTGGAACCTAAAAGGCTTCCAGAGTGCAAAGGGCTGCAGTGTGTGCATTGTGCTTAAGAACAAGAATTGCTTTAAACATAGTTGGTGAGTGCAAATAATATGCCTTTCAGTATGACATGCCTGGGCAGTTCAGAATTAGTATTCTACTTAATGATTATCATGGCAGCTTGCCCTTTACTCTGTGCTAAATTGCCTATTCTTAGTATGATAGACTGAATTGCCCTTCTTGTATCAGGCTTTCCACCAACGCACAGGACTTATCCTTATCTGGCTTACGGGTGCTTCCAGAATATTGCTGTATTCAGGCTTGATTCAATCACATAGTGGCAAATTCAGGTTGTAGAATTAAAGCTGATTTGGCGCTCTTGTGCAAGAAACCCACTTCCCCACAAAAATTGACTTTTTACAAGAAGGAAAGTGACAGGGAAATGCATTGGAAAGTGCGAGTTAACAATTGCTTGATATTTAACTTTCCTATAAACAAATCAGAATGAATGCTCAATAAACAGGTTATCAGGAAGTAGCCTAAGTTTCAGTCTTCACAGTCATCGGGTATCATATTAATTATATTTATTAATAGAACAACCATGCAATCCTATATATACTCAGAAGTAAACCATGCTGAGTTCAATGAGCCTTACTTCCAGGTAAGTTAGGAAACAGCAACAGAATGAAGTTTCTCTTTCTTCCTTTTTTTTTTTTTTTTTTTGTATGTGCCCTTTCCCATTTAGCTTAGTACAGTGCCTTTCACTTTGGCAGTATTCCTGTTTAAAATCTGTTTGCTTGTATATTTTTTCTTTTACTCAGAACAAATGCAAGCTGTCTTTGGGAAGAAAACGCTAGACTACATTCTCAGCTTATGTCAAGGACGCTATGACTTCCTCCATCGAATTCCTGACCATTTGATCATATACATCCTGTCATTTCTTAATACAGAGGATATAAGGCAATTGTCACAAACATGTAAAAGGTTTCGACAGGTAAAAATTCTGACAAATATGTAATCTTGATGCAATCTAAATAATTTTAGTAATATATAGACTTGGTTTAAATGGAGCTTTACAGAAGTAGCAAATACGATCAGTTACCTGTGGCAGTTACCATGTAGAACCAGAATAATATGAGCTTAATAGTAGACCAAAAGATTTGCAAGTTATGTTGTAGTCTGAAAAGCAAACAAATACATTGTAAAGAAAATGAGAATCTGGCCTACTCACACGTATTATGTATCATATATTGCAAATATTTATCTTTTAGCTATGCAATACTGAAGAATTTTGGGAAAGAAGAAAAAGAGTGCAAGATAAATACACTCTTGATATACAAACTGTCAAGGTTTCAGCTTACAAGAAGCCAACTAATTTCAGACAAAGACCTGGCTTATTGCCACGGATGCAAAGAAGGCAGACCACATTCTTCTGAAATTGATTGCAGATTATCTTGCAAGACTCCTGCATTCCACTTCAGCTAAAATAATCTAGGTACAAAAACTGTCTTCCGAGGCAAGACTTGCTATTTCAAAAGTTCACCAAGCTATTTCAAAAGTTCACAGGAATGAAAAAGCCTGCACCCAGTAATGCGTGTAACAATATACAGAAGACAAAGCCGAAGCTACAAAGTGACATCGTAAAATCTTATTCATAATGAAGAACACACACCATAGTAATGCATAGGCATTTTTGGACAATAAACGCTTCACAGCTACGGTGAGCTTTGGATCACATACACTTCATGATGCAGACGCGCATGGTGTTTCCCTTTTCAGATGCCTATGCATCTGTGTGTTATAGAAGCAGCAAGAGCTCAGTTCACCAGCAGTAAATGTAGGGAAATGGCTTTTCAAGTGGTGTGTTGTTTACTTCTCAAAAACATGTTAAGATTTTGCAAATAATTGCACATTTTCTCTCAAATTCAGAAAAACAAGCGAGAGAGAATCATGTGTATAAATAATAAAAGTAATGTGAGATCCAGTAGGTTCCCTATGTTTCTGCCTTTTCCGGGAGAAAGTGCACAATACAGTTTTAATCATATGCTGAAGACACAACTCTTTACCTTGGCCTTTGACACTTGAGATGTAAATTTTTAGGCCACATCATACTATTGTGAGAGTAATTTATTTTAAATTCTTTTAAATGTATTTTAATTGTGACCTGCCCTGAGGCCTTAGGGTGAAAGGCAGTAATACATCAATTCTGTTGTTGTTGTTACTAACTTTTGGTCTAGTTTTTCTGGTTTATCATCTGGGAAACAAAAGAATAGTTGAAATCGAGTGGAGAGTCAGATTAGCATAGTACTTTTGAAGCTGGTTTGGTATTTTTAATCCATGAATCCTATTTTTTAATCGTTTTGGTATAATAGTAAAACACATCAGGCGAAGCACTATTCAGATCATCAGATTTCAGTTTAATATTCTAGTGGTTGAAGGTCCAGATGATCCCCTTTATTTACATTAGAACAATCAAATGCTGATAGGATGACAGTAAAAAAAGGTTGAGCACATGATGTAAAAAAGTAGTCAAAAGAAGATCTGTGTTTCAGGTAAACAAAAAGCATATCAGTATTGTCAGAGTGATGCTCTGATACCAAGGCCTGTGCAGTTGCTTACTAAGAACAAGAATATATACACAAAAAATGGATTCTTAACGAGCACAATAAACAGAGGGAACAGTCGTAGCAGTTTATTCCCTCAAACACATTCTATTTCCATAGCTTTTACCTACCAACATAAGTGTTTCCACTGGTGACTTATGTAAAAACATACTATATGAAATATTAACATACAAAACAATGTCACTTATATCACATATTAAAAAGTGGCGAAACCTTTAAATATGCTATTTCATGACAGACACAGCATTAAATATTCAGGCTTTTCTCTGGTCTAAACATACAAAACCTTTTACAAGGCAAAAGCAACTCGGAAACAAAAGAACACAGACACTTACCTGATGTTCTAGCAAATGAAAGAGCAAATTAGACATTACAGCACCAGACCCATGGGTTGCTTCTGGATTCCTATAAAGCAGGATGGGCAGAAAGTGCTGACCCACTCCCCCCCCCCTTATCCCTTGAAACTGCTTGCCCAAAGCTGGTTTTCTTCAGATGGGGTTTTGAGTCTGAAAATAACTGCTGGTGGAAGAAAAGCACTTGGAGGAGGAGCAACTGACCCAGAGCTGCAACCCATTAGCTGCTTGCTGGGAGGGAGAAGCAGCTTTTGGCTAGAAGAAGGAAAGCTTTAGCACTCCCATCCCACCTGCACATGCTAGGCTTTCAATCTTCCCACTCTCCTTCATTGGAATTTGGCACAACCCAAAATATAATAGATGGATCATGCTGCCTTTCTGCCTCGTTTTCCCCTGAAAACCAATGTAAATGGATTGAGGTACTGAGGCCTGCAGACACTGGACACAAATGTGCAAATTGTGCGTTTTAACCACCCATGATCCTGCGGTTGAGTACTGTCCTGTAATAATCATTTAAACATTATCTTAATTACAAGGGTAATTTGTTGTTTATAGTTCTTTATGCAGCAATGCACTTACTAAACTGGGACTTAACTCCTTACAGGACCAGGCTAATGTACAGTGGTGCCCCGCAAGACGAACGCCTCGCAAGACGAAAAACCCGCTAGACGAAAGGGTTTTCCGTTTTGGAGGCGCTTCGCAAAACGAATTTCCCTATGGGCTTGCTTCGCAAGACGAAGCCCATAGGGAAATCTCCGATCCCGCGAAGCCTGGGCGCGCTGATCTCAGCGCGCGCAGGCTTCGGCATGCCGGCAACTCTCCGCGAGCAGCGGCAGCGCTGCCGCTGCTCGCGGAGAGGTCCGCGAAGCCTGGGCGCGCTGATCTCAGCGCGCGCAGGCCTCGGCATGCCGGCAACTCTCCGCGAGCAGCGGCAGCGCTGCCGCTGCTCGCGGAGAGGTCCGCGAAGCCTGGGCGCGCTGATCTCAGCGCGCGCAGGCTTCGGCATGCCGGCAACTCTCCGCGAGCAGCGTGCAGCGCTGCCGCTGCTCGCGGAGAGGTCCGCGAAGCCTGGGCGCGCTGATCTCAGCGCGCCCAGGCTCGGCATGCCGGCAACTCTCCGCGAGCAGCGGCAGCGCTGCCGCTGCTCGCGGAGAGGTCCGCGAGCCTGGGCGCGCTGATCTCAGCGCGCCCAGGCTTCGGCATGCCGGCAGCTCTCCGCGAGCAGCGGCAGCGCTGCCGCTGCTCGCGGAGAGGTCCGCGAAGCCTGGGCGCGCTGATCTCAGCGCGCCCAGGCTTCGGCATGCCGGCAACTCTCCGCGAGCAGCGGCAGCGCTGCCGCTGCTCGCGGAGAGGTCCGCGAGCCTGGGCGCGCTGATCTCAGCGCGCCCAGGCTCGGCATGCCGGCAACTCTCCGCGAGCAGCGGCAGCGCTGCCGCTGCTCGCGGAGAGGTCCGCGAAGCCTGGGCGCGCTGATCTCAGCGCGCCCAGGCTCGGCATGCCGGCAACTCTCCGCGAGCAGCGGCAGCGCTGCCGCTGCTCGCGGAGAGGTCCGCGAAGCCTGGGCGCGCTGATCTCAGCGCGCCCAGGCCTCGGCATGCCGGCAGCTCTCCGCGAGCAGCGGCAGCGCTGCCGCTGCTCGCGGAGAGGTCCGCGAAGCCTGGGCGCGCTGATCTCAGCGCGCCCAGGCTCGGCATGCCGGCAGCTCTCCGCGAGCAGCGGCAGCGCTGCCGCTGCTCGCGGAGAGGTCCGCGAAGCCTGGGCGCGCTGATCTCAGCGCGCGCAGGCTTCGGCATGCCGGCAACTCTCCGCAAGCAGCGGCAGTGCTGCCGCTGCTTGCGGAGAGATCCGCGAGCCTTGGCTGGACAGCTTTTGAAGGCAGGTGGGGGGGGACAAAGACTTTCGCCCCCCGCCAACCTTCAGAAGAGGTCCAGGACCTCTTCTGAAGGCGGGCGGGGGGCAAAAGTCTTTGTCCCCCCTGCCTGCCTTCCCAGGGGCGTTTAAATTGCCCCGGACAGCGGAGAAGTCCTCCGCTGTCCCGGGGCAATTTTAAAATGCCGCCCGCCAGCATTTTAAGATCGCCCCGGACAGCGGAGAAGCCCTCCGCTGTCCCGGGGTTTTAAAATGCTGGGGGTGGAAGAAAAGCCCTTGTCCCCCAGCCTTCAGAAGAGGTCGGGGGACAGACTGTCCCGGACCTGGTCTGAAGTCGGTTTCCCTAGGAACGCATTAATTGATTTTCAATGCATTCCTATGGGAAACCGTGCATCGCAAGACGAAAAACTCGCAAGAAGAAAAAACTTGCGGAACGAATTAATTTCGTCTTGCGAGGCACCACTGTACTTGTGTGTTATTCTCCCGACTGATGTAAATACAGCTACACTCTGTATAATGTCTTATTCTCATGGTCTTGTCATATTGAGACCTGTTAATGCAATTTATAGAACATAAAATGCCTCGGTTAGAACTGATGGAAATGCATGCTTTAAAGAATTCCCCTAGAGTGGAACATTTCAGAAAAGTTTTATGCAAAACACAAACCTCAAAATATGCCTCAAAATATCAGAAGCTTCGAAATCCTGAATTCTACTGTAATATTCAATAACATTGTGTCATAAATACCCTTCCCACTTCTCAAGCCACAGTATGCCCTATGCCTATGTGAGCCATCACTCCATTATGTATAGAGGCACGTATTTGCGTAACATGTCAGTGATAATGGCAATGAAATCCACCTGAAGAACAGCCTTTAAAAGTCATGCTATTACTATCATAACATACCATCAAATATGTATCTATATGCATTGGGATGAAAGATGCCTTCACATGCATATAGCTGGAAACAGTGTAAGTGCACAGTGATGATATTCTCTTGTAACATTTATGTAACATTGCCTGTGGCCTAAACTTCTACTAGAAAACTAAAAAAAAAAAAAAGTTTTCTTCGCAATGGTGGGCCAATTCCGAGAACGTAATATTTTGCGGGACACTAAGTCTTAAATGCTGACGTTTCTGTCCTTGTTGTTTTATTCTGCCTCTTCGCTCTTCTCAGAACCACCTCCAGGTGAGTTGTCTGCTTCATACTTTCTATCATAAGCTTCTTCTGAAGACTTTTCAGTGCAGTCATAGGACCTACTTGTAGACCCCGTATGTGTTCGAATGCGAACTCCTGGCTGGTATAGTTGCATGGCTGGCCGATCCTGTGCAGAAAATAAGAAGAAAGGAGATTAAGGCTTGGAGAAAATCATTTATTATCCACACAGGAGATCTCAAAATGTCTTAACTGTTCTGTGAAAGAAAAGAGGACTTTTTTGACAAACTGATTTAACAACAAATGGGAAAACTAGGTTATAAATATCTGACACTTATTACCTCACTCTTAGCCCCTGAAAGCCAAGTACTTTAAGCAAATTAAAAGAATACTGGACAAATTCAGATTGCTGTTTTGGGAGGAAAGTGATGCTTCAGAACACAGTACCAAAGATGGAAAATTTCACAAAATTTTAATTCGTTATAATAACTAGAAGAAATTTGGCTGCAATCAAATATGGGCACAAACAGTTTCAAACACGAAGACAGTCTATAGTTTACAAGGTATAAAGGTAGCATAATAACTTCATAGCTAACCTCTCAAAATAGAGCTTGATTTAATAATCTAGCTAGCCAGTAAGGGCTTAACCATAACTTCTTGTTGACACAAACTCTCCCAGCTCACTAAACCCTATTACCTCTTCAACTTTAACACCTCCTCTTACCAGTCTTCCCCCTCTTTTCCCTTCGACCACTCATTGTTGTGCCACCACCACCCCACAGGCTCTTAGCCTTCTTCCCACCATTCCTCTGTCTCCAACCAGTGAATGACAAGGCCTTACAGTACCATAAGACCAAAGCTGCAATTCTGAACAAACCTAGTGGGGAGCAAGCCCTATAGAAGTGAGTGGGACTTGATTTTCAGTAAATTTGTTTAGAATCATGCTGCACATCCATGATAAATTGTAGTTAACAGCACAATCTCAACCACGTCTACTCAGAAGTATGTCCTAAGGAATTAAATGTGGCTCACTTCCAGGTAAGTGGAGTTTGGATTCCAAATGACAAGCAGCATAGCCGGGTTATCTAATGCACAAAGAATGCTGTTGTTGCTGGGTCACAGGAACTCATTCTTTGCAATGTTACAGCTACACATATCCACAGGGTCAAGTGCAAGAATGATACCCATGTGTAAATTACCGATTTGCTGGGCTACATCAATATTAACAACAGCTAAACTGTTAAATTACTTCACTTTGAAAATCTTCATAATACAGTCGTACCTTGGAAGTTGAACGCCTTGCCAGTTGGACGTTTTGGCTCCCGAACGTCGCAAACCCGGAAGTGTTTGTTCCGGTTTGTGAACGTTCTTTGTAACCCAAACTTCCTTTGCGGTTCTGTGGCTTCCGATTGGCTGCAGGAGCTTTCTGCAGTCAATCAGAAGCTGTGCCTTGGTTCTCAAACATTTTAGAAGTCGAACAGACTTCTGGATCTGATTCTGTTCGGCTTCTGAGGTACCGCTGTATTAGTTTCTGCTTCTTTTTTAAGATAACTATGTACTCAACTGAAGTAATGATCATGGTTTCTACCTCCTATTATTCAACTGGTAGCAACGTTACTTCAACTTAGATCATTTGGGCTATTGATTCCCTTAGCAGTAATATAGTAGGTCCAAACATAAGGGCACAATATTTTTGAGTGATTAGATGAGTATAGGTTATCAGGGAGAGCATAAGCATTCTGACATGTGTTTATTAAAACAGATAAACATTTTTTTTAAAACAACCCAGATTCTAAGAACTGTGCTTCATAAAAGCATGCATTTTAAAAATGCAAACAGGCATCATTAGCAGCAAAGACAGATTCCAATACCTATCACTTTAACAGCTTTTGCTGAGTTAAAAAAATGGAGGTTTTCATTTTAGTGAAAATCAAATGTTTAAAAAGTTCATGCTGAGATGTCAAAAGCAAATCTTGTATGACCTTGAAGTAATTTTACTAATGAAAGATTATCCTAAATGAATAAAAGAACCTTATTTCTTATGCGCTCCTTTTTGGATGCCATGTCATCACACTTGTCCTCTTTACCCAGTTTGTCTACTGTGTCCACAGTGAAGCTGTAGTTGTAGTTCACTTTCTTCCCTCGATCTTGGCTGTATCCTTTTCCCCACTTCACCTCATCTTCATTCCTTCTCACAAACTTGTCAAATTCATAGTGACTTCTGTGCTTTCGGCTATCATCCAGTCGATACCTTTGTCTCTCAGGTTCTTTTTCGCGAAATCTTCTCTCTGAATCTCTTTGCTCTTTATCACTATCATTTTGAGACCTGTGTTTTAAAAAAATGAAAAATCCAAACATAAAAAACAAACTGCTTAAAACTCAGGTAACAAGGCATATGCTGCCTAAACAAAGCTCCCAGTTTATTTAGTGGTGTTGGAGTAAGGGCCAGCTATGCCAACAGTGCAATACTATGTCTACTCAGAAGTAAGTCCCATTGCCTTCAGTAAGGCTTACTCCTAGATAAGTATTTACTTCTGAGTATGCACAGGATTGTGCTACATATCTTGCTTATAATTATTAAAGTAAAAAAGGAAGGGTTTTGGGAATTCAATAATTTATTTTGTAAAAGGTAAAGACTTACAGATCCTAGGAGTCCCAGAATGTCAAGAGCTGGTTACTCCTTGCCTAGCTTTGGATGTCAAATGTTGGTTATTCATTTATTTGATTGACTGATATAATGCCCTTCATCCTAAGATCTCGGGGGGCGGGGCGGTTACAGAATAATATCAGCTCCCGGCCATGTGATATGAGCATGTTGGATGACAGAGAAAAACTTCATAAAGCATGAATTAAGGTTGGTTTGTTTCCTAAACCATAATTAAGACTACTAATATAGTTTATTGGGGACGCGGGTGGCGCTGTGGGTAAAACCTCAGCGCCTAGGACTTGCCGATCGCATGGTCGGCGGTTCGAATCCCCGCGGCGGGGTGAGCTCCCGTCATTTGGTCCCAGCTCCTGCCCACCTAGCAGTTTGAAAGCACCCTTAAGTGCAAGTAGATAAATAGGTACCGCTTTATAGCGGGAAGGTAAACGGTGTTTCCATGTGCTGCTCTGGTGCCGGTTTGCCAGAGCAGCTTCGTCATGCTGGCCACGTGACCCGGAAGTGTCTGTGGACAGCGCTGGCTCCTGGCCTCTAGAGTGAGATGAGCGCACAACCCTAGAGTCTGTCAAGACTGGCCCGTACGGGCAGGGGTACCTTTACCTTTACCTTTTTAATATAGTTTATTGGATTCAGATGACAAGCTGTAGTTGCTTTTAGATAAAAACCCAGAGGTTTTAAGTCAAAGGGATGTACCAATTTAAACTGCCTTGAGGATGTAACTCCATCTTCAAAATAAAGCACTACTTACTTTTCCTTAAGTTCCTTCAGCGAACCTTCCAGGGGCTTAGATTTTATACTCCCGTGCCCAGGTGATTTCTCCCATTTACTCTCGTCTATGTCAGCTTTTTCTTTTTCTCTGTGCTTTTCTGTGGCTTGCTCATCGCCTTTCTCGGGTTTCTTAAGAAGCTAATAAATATATTTGTAAAATATATGACTATTATAAATGTGTTTTCTACATCTTTACAAATGTTAACATCTTACAGAATACACTGACGCACAGGAAAAATCACTTATAGCATACTTGCTTGATGTGTCCTTAGCCCCTCCCCCCCAAAACCCCCACCCATATGACATCAGCATTCAAAACCAATTAAAAAAAGTTATCACGATCCAGCGACAATTAAGCATTTGAACAAGTATGCCTAATTTCAGTGAGAGAATTAACCACACACCAAGATATCGCCCGTTGAAATAAACTACATTTTATAACTGCTTAGCACTGATGAAAGAATCTAGAGTTTCCACATTCTTGATGCAAGGCAGTTCTGCTGCTGTGGGTCTGAAATATACAGAAACCCTCAAGAAGAAATGTCATATCTAGACCTAATAACTGTAAAAGTTACCAGCGTCTCTTAATACAAATTCAGATAAATATATAAATAAATTCTAGATAATGTGGAAACTGATTGACAAAGCATTAACTCCCTCTAATGTTCTGGCATTCTCTGTTCAAACATGCTCTTCAAATATATTGAATTGTTTAACTATAATAGTATATGGTTAATTTTTAGAATGCAATGAATACACCATAAATGTATGATATTGTGCGTGTATATATATGTAAGTATGTGGAAAGATATCCGTCTGCTTTTAAATGGGCACAATTCATTCTGCAAGAGATGGGATGCTGTCTGTATCCCCTGGATTTTTCTAAAGAATCTCAAAAGGGAACCACAATTATTACTACATGTATTATTTCATGCAAGGATATATTTTATTCAGTGCCTGCTTTTTTTTTGCCTTTTTATATGCTGACACTGATCCTAATGTAAGATAATCTAAGGAAGCTCACAGTAGGGAGTTCACAGTAGTTTCACATTTCCCCCATAACCTCTGAAAAGCCTCTCTGGAAACCCAGGGGCCCTTTCTGAACAATGTATGATGACACCCAGGAGCTGCTAGGTGGAGGAGGGAATTGAAAACTTTTCATTTGTGAGCTTCCTTAATGTATCTTTTGATCCAAGCCTAATTTTGGGTAATGCCACCATCCACCTCACCCTCTCCCTTGCTCAAAAAGTTTGGGGGCGGGGACTCAGGCAGCTGTAAGGATAAAAAGAGAGGTGGAAAACTTCATTCTATAACCTTCCTTAAGTTAACTTATCTTAGAATTCAAATCACTGTTGTGATGTTTCTCTGTTCTGTATATTAGTGGGGGGAAACAGCTTTTTTAAAAAAGAAAAAAAGATCCGATTATTAGTTTTGCAACATAAAATTTAATTCTGCTTTTACTTTCAGAATTTCCAGAATTTGAAATCATATTTCATTGACACAGATAACTGCCAATGAAAACGGTTCAGTTAAAGAACTTAAAAATGGTAACTACTTTCTTGAGTTAGGAATGGGAAATTTACACATCTACTTTACAATGCAAGACATAAGCCTAATGCAAGATTTAAGAAGTCAGATTCTACAAGTGCTCAGATAGGTTTGGCACTCTACAAAAAAACCCTCTAAAAATAAAAATTCTGTAATAGGGAATCCAAATACTTGGCTGAACTCAGTGACTTGAATATACTTCCTATGTTCCTAATGCTATAGTCCTAAGCCACTGACATGGAAGCACTGAAATCAATGAGACTTCTTCTACATGCATGCATTTAGGGTAAGGATACACATCAAGCTAACCTACTGTAACTCTGGTACATCTGAAAGATGGGAGATAGCAGGGAAAAAATACCTTGATCCTTATTTCTTTTTCAGCCATTTTCTTTTGCTTTTCAGCTTCTTTTCTTTTACGCCTTTCTTCCTCTCTGCGCTTCCGCTTCTCATCTTCCCTTAGGCGTTTTTTTTCTGATTCTCTTCTCCTTCGTTCTTCCCTTTTCTCTTCTCGGATTCTCTAAAACATTGGAAATGTTTTATGTAGATTTGTAGAAATATTAAAAAGAACTTAAAGCACAAAGTTTAGGGCTTATTCCAAAACACAAACATACCTGTTTTTCTAATTTTCTATTTTTAATATATTCCAAAAGTGGTGTTGTTCTTCTAGCTAAAACACAAAAAGTGATATAGTATCTCGTTTCTAATACATAAGATTGATTATAAATGAGATTTTTTGTCATTCAAGCTTTAAAAATGTAATTACTATATGACAATGAACACAATTTCATAATGGGCCATATAGAAAGTCCCTGTTACTCTATTACATAAAACCATCGTTTCTTATCATAATAGTTTGGAAAATCAGTAAAATTGGACAAGTATCTGAGATTACTTGATGTCTATATCATATTTTATTTTTCTATATAAAAAAATTATGGATGCAACCATTTAAAGGAGGAAAAAACTGTGCTGCACAATACTGTTATTCCATCTTCTACCTGACTGGTTAGTGTTTTGATTGCATGCAGTGGTCTTAAATTAGCCTTGAAAAGTTTGCCATTAATGAAATATGCATTTGTGTAAAATTCTTCCTATAGATTTGTGCAAAAGTAGCATCTAGGTAATGGTTAAACTCCTGAAAACAGTGGGGGGAAGATTTACCTGTGTACACAATCATAATTTTAATCTTGATCAAATAGTGATAGAAATGAGTGGCAAAAGCATTGGAACATCAATCTGCACACTTTTTCCTGATTGTCATGTAAAATTTAGCTTCTGATTCCTGTACATTTTCACTGTAGACACAGCAGGTCAGTTGTAGGTAAAATCAATAATAATTTCCAAAGTGCTCAAAACACTTCTCATATATTTTCTCTACAATCCTTACAACAGGTGTATTAGGGAGAACTGATTCTGACCTGTGGGTCAGATTGTTCTCTCCCTACTCATAGTGGGTCAGGTTTGACAGGTAGGTAGGACTGTCCACCTGTCAATCACTTGATGATACAATAATGATAGAGTGCCAACACAGGTCTCACAGAGCGCTTTGCATGAGACTTGGCAACACCCGACAATCAGCTTCAAACCTCTTTTTAGCTGAGCGCAATCATTATCTGCCCCACATCTGACATTGCATATGACAGCTGTTGGGATGGTGCCTATGCTTTGGCTGAAATGGCCTCATGGACTAAATGGGGAGGTCTGGCGAGCCTAAATCATCTATATAAACAGACCCACAGGCAGAAGGTTCCCTACACCAACCCTGTAAGGCAGTCTGTTGTAATAAACATTATAGATATGGAGCCGAGAGATAATGGTCTAATGGCAGCCAGTGAATCCACAACTGGCTAAAGATTTGAACCACGTATGTCGAGCATACCTTGTGATCTTAACTACCAGCTTACACCAGCACACTCATATTTAATGCTGTATTGACCCATAGTTAATTATCTGTATAGGTAAGTCCTTAAAATGTATACATTTTGGATCAAAATAAAAGTTTGTGTAAATGGATATCAAAACTACTACTCCACCTCAAATCCTATAAATTCATATATTATTGAAGCAGCATGGAAAGCAGTTCTACATTATCAGATCACCCACATTGGTTTGTTGAATGGTATGGTTCTTTGGCAGACATAAACTGTTCAGCAACCTAATGATAGGTAAAACTGTCAGTTCAGCTGACCCACGTTCCCTTTTTACAGGTGTTATTAATGTAATACAGGACTGGATAATGGGTTGGGTGGGAACTGTGGCTCTCCATATATTGTTGGAATACAACTCTCATCATCCTTGAACATGCTGTCTGGGTCTTATGGGAGTAGGAGTCACATTATTCTGTCCTCTCATATGTACATAATTAGGACTGAGATGCAATAGAAATGCCTTGTTATCTCTTTAATTGCACTGCATATTATTTAGATATTTTCCACACTCCATTTTATTAACCATCTGATTATCAAAGTAATTAGGATTTCTTCCACAATTTTGGTAAAATAAGATTACAGTATGTATTGAATATTATCAATACCCACATAAATGGTCTGTATAACGTTTTTAATAATTAGGGAAGTTACTAATAACAAGCCAGGAGTTTCATCCTAGAGATCATCCTCAGCATTCAATACTGAATGCTTATTAACTGCTGAATCTATATAAAGGAGTAGTTACTGTGTTGTTACATGAATTATTTTACCGTGCTGGTAGCATTTTGAGCCCCCCGCTCCAATTCCAGACCTTGAGTTTGCAAAGAGTTTGTTTTTATCTCATTCACTTTAATTGGGATCAAACTCCAATGCTAATCCCTTTCAGCAAAACTTCCCTTTCAGTGAAACGTTCAATTTTAAAATTAACATAATGGAAGACAGGGCTGAAACAACAGAGCAACCTCTTCTTTATTGTAGAATAATCTCTTGATTATAGAAGTGGCACAGGTTGGGGAAAAGTTTTGTGTATTTCTGATAGCCAACTGGTGCCTTTTATGATCTCAAATAAGTATCAGTGTTATAGAGGCCAGTGTAACACACAAAACTTGCATTGCACACAATAAGTTATGAAATTAAGGAGTTTTAGGTTTAAAACCTTTTACATTTATACCCCTAGCCCACCAACAGTTCATGATCATAAAATACTACTGATATCTCACAAACCTCATAGCTATATGGACATAGTACAGGCCTGCAGAGTGCTAGTTTCCCAAATCTGTTGTTCAGCTAATGTTTGAGAATAAACAGGGGATGTTCTTTTTATTAAGAACTTCTGAAATGGTGCTAGAGATAACCATAATTTAATGACTGTAACCTCAAGAGTGCTAATGCGGGACTAATAAAATATGATCATATAATTCAGAAGCATTCACTAATGGAGGAGATCATCTTAACAGACCAATGAGTTCTCTTGTTTTTGCCTCAATCTCTCCCAGCAGAGTCTCAGGGTTAGCACATATTTTTTCTTCTTCTGCACAATAACTTTCTAAAAATTTTCTGTATTCTGGATCTATGAAAGAAAAAAACCATTGAAAAGAAAGTTAATCATTGGATGTCATATATATTGCATGAGAAATTATCCATTAAGCGCAGTAAATCAGGAAAATGTTTTCGCCATGAAAATGAGCTTACCATCTTCTATGCTTCCAGCTTTTGCATCTTTCTTCTTCAGCTTCTTTTTAGAAATCTTTTGGAATGGTGCAAATTCAACAACAGCTGGATATTCTAAACCTTGAAAGAACCACACATTGGCTGAGTAACTAAAGGTAAATAATATGCACATTTTGAGACTGAGAGGAACTTATTCCCAGGTCCTTGAGTATAAAAACCTGAATTAAAATTGGAAATTTTATTTTTCACTGACTTAGTTTATGACAAACTGTCTTGATCCAGAAGAAAAAGACTGTAGGCAAATACAAGCACAGATATTGCCAATGCAGATAGATATGTGTTGGGTTGGTCACATCTGCATCACAAAGTTTATTGAAACTTCACTACTCTAGCTAGATACATCTCTTAGTGCAAATGTAAATCTCAATCCATGGTCACTAGTATGCTTATAAGTAGAGGTGGACTGGAGACAATTTAAACAGTTGGCACATAAACCTTTTCATTTTTATTTCTTTAAACCTGGCAAAAAAAAAAATGTAACATAGCTCAAAATAACTAATATATCAACAAAGATGCCAATACTGAATGATCAAAACATTTAGATAATGTATGGTATGGTTATACTTCATTTTAAAGTGATTTATTCAGTCTCTTGTAATTCATAGGATAGCATTTCTACTTAAGGGTGAGGGATACATCATTTAATAAATAGATAAAATATATCACTACACAGACATTAACCTTATCTGAAAACTTCAACTGATTTCAAAGTACAACCTTGTCTTTCTCAATCACAGACCTATCAAGGTAATTTCTAGTTATATATACAAGGGTCCCATCAGTGGAAATGAATGTGCATAAAAGGATGGCATTGGGTGGATTCCTGCTACTGAGAGAACCTTAAATGATAACCAGCGAGGCCCCATCTAACTTTGTGCTCTTCTGAGTTTACCATAATCAAACTTCATGCAACATTTTGGAGGTCAAGTCAGAATTCTCTGAAACCTTGACTACAGCATACACAAACATGTTTTCTAAAACATGGTACACCTTTGGCAAATCTGAACTTTGGAAATATTGACCTATCTTTTCTTTCATTACATGGCAAGATTAGCTATTGTTTAAGAAAAACAAACTATCTACCCTTTGAGCATGTAGAACTAGTTGTGTGGGTCTTAGATTTCTGGCCATAATAAGGAATGGGTTACCTTTACTGTCTATGAAGACATAGCCATCAAAGCGATCTCTAAAAAGAAGGATGTCATCAGGATTTCTAAAATTAATATATGCTCTTGAGTAGAGATGAGGATAAAGACTGAAACAAAAGTGAATGTTTTGTTAGTTATGTTTATCTTCTAAAAGGAAGAAAGGTAAAAGTATAAATTACATTAATTCTATTAATATTGATGTTTATCCACATTAGATTGGCATTTCAAAGTAGGCATGCTTTATATTCCTCCACATCAAATGAAATTGTTGTTGTTATTTTTATACTGCCGTTCATCCGCAGATTTCAGGGCAGTTCACAACAATGAAATAGTGATTGTTGTTGTTTAGTCGTTTAGTCGTGTCCGACTCTTCGTGACCCCATGGATTACAATCAAAAATGATAATGAAGTAGAAATTTCTTAGCTAAAAACTCTTAAAAGCCATGAGATGCTTTGTTACATGCACAGACTAAGATGTGGAATGTCTGGAGCCTAAGTTCAGTACGTATAACTTTCCACTCAGTGTCCAAGTATGCTGTAATTCAACCAGCCCATCTTTTAGTCACTGTCTTCCTGCATCTGTCTTCAAGGATACAGTGTTTTCTAGGCTACAGTGAATCCACTCATCCTTTGGCTGAGTAGTCTGAGTACAAAGGGCCTGAGAAACCCATGAATGCTGGAAGATCCGACATGAGAGGGCTTCAAATGAAAGGTAATGGAATGGTTTCATTGCAATGTGCCTAGAAGAGCAATGCAGCAAACATGGAAGAACTTTTATTTCGCACCAGCACTGTTTTGGTGCCTCTAATTTGGGCTTCCAATATATCCCAAAATGACATAACAAAAGCTACTGAAATCCCACTTTCAGCAGGGATTACATGACCAGGCCACTGCAGTTCTACAATCATGTAACTTAAAAGCCTCATATCCTTACAAAATTTGCAAATGTTGGCAGTGTTTTTAAGTTTTGCTCTTTCTCATAACCTAAACATTTTGTTCTATTTGAAGAAAGATAAGAGATAACTCACAGGACATGAGCTCTGAGAGGAAGGTAAAAGAAGAGCCGTCCACTAGGACGACCCCTGCTTTCTCAGAGGCTTTGTAAGGGCTTGTATCCCCTGGGGGAGGTGAACACATGTGAACTAGCCCTTAAACACACAAGTAGCTAGAGTGTGGCTCTAATAACCACAATATATAAAGTAGATTTTTAGAGAATCTTTCATCATATTCTCAAAGGTCAGTGTGTCACATCCAGACTAGTGGGAAGAAATCCATGATGTCACAGGCATACATCATGGTAGATAACAACAATAAGGTAGCTGCATTTCACACACATTCAACTTGGTAAAATGTTTTAATATTATATATGTTTTTCATAATTCTGTTTGTTTTTAAAGTGTAGTATAGACGAATCTGGATCCTGTTGGTATTAATAGCGTGATGCAAGCATGATTAAGATGCCTCCTTTTCCCCCCCATAGAAACAATTAACTATGTTCTCACCTGGGATCAGAGGTACAAAATTCAAAATAATCGTGGGCAGGAAGTGGATGAAGCTGTTCCTCTAGCTGCTCCTTGGTAAAGCTAGGAGGTAGCCGCCGTATAACTACCTAGAAAGCATCACATGTAAGACTGAGGACAATCATTCAGGAGTATTTGTCTCATTATTTTTATTCCATGTTTGGATAAATAAACACCTCCCATTAGTATTAGTCAGAATTGTAACCAATTTCTTAGAAGACAAAATGATTCTAGTCCCCAGGTCTGGCTTCAACACATGTATTCCTGTCATGGAATTCTACTCAATATTGCTCCAGAGCAGAACTGCAATGTATAGTTAGCAGAGCAAAAACTTAAAACAAATGAGCATAATGGTCTGCCAGTCCTGAATGTATTGGATTTGTAACCATTATGCTCATTTGCCTTCAGTAACAGTAAAGCTCTGTTGGATGAAATATTAATTGCCTCTGGTCAACTCTCACAATTCCTGGCATGCATTACATTTACATCCCACCTTTTCCTCCAAGCAGCTCAAGGTGGCTTTGGGCTCCCCTTCCTCCCTACAGCAACCCTGTGAGGTAGGTTAGGACGAAATTCCATGGCCCAGTGAGGATTTGAACCCCAACTGCCTATCACTCTAACCACTACACAACACTACATACTCTTTTAATACTGACTTGGAATCCCCTTTCAATAGTGAACGGGGTGGGTAACGGTGGCTAAGATATCACCTGCCTCTTTAACCAGATGCGGAGGAGGGTCTGAAGCGGATCGTGGCTTGTCCAAGGCAACAAAGGCGGTCTGTGCCCTGTGGAACGCCCTCCCATCAGGTGTCAAGGAAATAAACAACTATCTGACTTTTAGAAGACACCTGAAGGCAGCCCTGTACAGGGAAGTTTTTAATGTCTGATGTTTGATTGTTATTTTTAATATTTTGTTGGAAGCCGCCCAGATTGGCTGGGGAAACCCAGCCAGATGGGCGAGGTATAAGTAAATGATAATAATAATAATAATAATAATAATAATAAAAAACAACCAAGGTCCTGAGTCCCCTTGGCTAAAAGCTGGGCCAGCAGGTGGAGGAGCGCGCAAAACGCCTTCCTCTCTGCGCATGCGTTTTTACCTGTCGGCCAGCCCTTCCTTTCTCAGCGTTTCTCACCTTGATGCGGGCGCGCGCGCACACACACACAAGCCGCAGCTACTGCCCCGCCCTCTCTCGCGCGCTGTCCCTGGTGCTGGAAGGAAGCCCCGCCCACCTGTTCCGCCCCGCCCCTCCCCCCTTCCCAACAGCTTCTCACTTTACTCAGAGCCGCTCTTTTCTCCTCCCGCTGCGGTTTGCCCGGCAGCGGCGGCAGGCTGGATGGCGGTGGTGGCAGCGGGGGCGGCGGAGGAGGAGGGGGCGGGGGCCCCGGGGACGTCGGAGGGGTCTCTGGTACCCGACGCGGGGATTCCCGCTGAAGCGGAGCCTCCATGGGGGGCCTCTCACAAAGCCCTCCGCCGGCCGTCAGCGACGGCGTCTCTGGCGCGCATCAGCGCCGCTCCGACCTCTCTCAGCGTCCTCATCCTCCTCCCCCCCTCCCCCCACTACCTCCAGTCAGCCAACCGCCAACCCTTGCCGGCAAGCCTCGCGAGAGCCAGACCCCTCGTTCCTCAGGAGAGTCTCGCGAGAGGTGAAAGGAAGGGGTCGACAGCCTATAAGCGCCTTCCGAATCTCTCTCCGTTTCCGCCCCGCCCACGAGTATATTTCAAAGATGCGACTACCACCTGTGCATCTATTCGGCCTCTCTTTCATGCGGGGCGGGGTTTAGAGCAGAGGGTCTATTGTAGTCCCGTTTTGATTAGAAGAATCGAGACCTTTGGGTTATACCCTTTTAAGTTATTGGTTTGCGGTGGGGTTTTTGTTGTTCTTGTTTTTATTATGTGTTTTGTGCTTTTTTTAATCTTACATTTTTAAGCTGTGAACCGCCCCGAGCTCTATGGGTGAAGGACAGTATACAAATTAATAGGAATAATAATATTTGGTTCTGAAAGTAGCTTACATCACAATAACAGGAAATCACATGAGACATTCAATAGCAGCAGAACAGATCTAAGTGCAAAAACCCAACCTGCTGTCTTTTCAGAATTCTTGTGCAAGAGCAGCGCTCTCTCTCTCCCCACAACCGTTCATTTTGCTGTTTTGCATAATGAGGAATGGGTGGGGGCTCTCCAGATGTCACTGGGCTCCTGATTTCCCTCAGCTCCAGCCTACATGGCCACAATGCTCAAGGGATCAGGAGAGTTTGTAATCCATCAACATCTGGACAGCTGCTTCAACTGGTTCCCCATCCCTGATAAGAGATTATGTTAAAGAAGCATAATGTGATAAGCCGTCATTTCAGTTGAAAAGGCTCACTTTAGAAATGTGGCTGGCAAAAAGTATTTTTGAGCAAAGTACAATAATATGCGGTGACCTTCGTTTTGAATTAGGGAATTGAAGCTGGGCAGCACAAAATAAGCATGACATAGCCACACCACCAGGTAAACACCCCCTACAACATGCCATAGAAATGAGTCTCATTGTCAACTACACTGCCCCTATGTTGCTTCACCACAGCAATTATTAGGCTGCAAAAGCACGACACATTGTGTGCCTTCAATACTCTAGTTTATCCAGCATCTCCATTTAAATATTATTGTAGAATACTGTAAGAATGTTTTCAAAGTGGATTGGGGATTGGCTGCAACTTCTTGTGGTAGTTCTGGGCTGTATGTGTACACAGTGTGTTTCCACCTTTGGGGTTTGAAGCCAAGTATATAATGTTAACTAACCACAATCCATTTCTAGTCATTTATTGAGAAATACTTTTGTTTGATGTGCTCCCATCTGATTTGAAAGCGTAAGCAGCAGTTAAGCTGTAGTGTGTACCTTTGAGTCAGCCATTGTGCATGTGCAGACAACAGTTTGATGAGTTACGTGCAGGGAAATAAATTCGGTAATGCTCATTGGGTGAAGACATCTTGCCTACTTCCCTCTCTGGTGTGCACGGCAACATAAAGTGACTTGAAACACAGTGGCTGGAAACAACCTCACTGCATTTTAAGCCACTAATGTGTATACAGTGGTACCTTGGGTTACAGACACTTCAGGTTACAGACTCCGCTAACCCAGAAATAGTACCTTGGGTTAAGAACTTTGTTCAGGATGAGAAATCGTGTGGTGGCAACAGGAGGCCTCATTAGCTGAAGTGGTAGCTCAGGTTAAGAACAGCTTCAGGTTAAGAATGGACCTCCAGAACGAATTAAGTTCTTAACCCAAGGTACCACTGTATACCCTAGATAGGTGACGATAAGAAGTCTCTTGCGCCAAGAAACCATCAAAGCACACTCCGAGGCTTCCAAGAGTACATTGGATCTGCCACACATCTAATGTCCTAAAAGTGCAGCTTTTCGGAGACAGCCTCATGAGTTAAATTTGGATCTGTGGATTCTAATTAGGCCTGCAGGCTGATGGATCCCTATGCCTATTGTAAAAGTTTGTTGCGCAGCAGCACCTGAATTTTCATTTAACCAATAACCTGTGTTTGGATGTAACTCGTGTCAGGAAGATAGCGTGAAGAAGCAGTAAGGAATCTGAAATGACAAATGAGGCTAGACAAGAGTATTTACTTCCACACTTAAGACTTGGCAACAATTAAATTGGAGAGGAAATGCATTCAGGTGATAAGAATAATTTTTTACAATTGTGTGTGTGAGTCAAACAAAGCAATGAAAACTTTAATTCTGGTTTAAAGAATAAAATATAGTAGCAAATCATCAATTTTGCAGGGGGTTGTTATGACACATATTTAACATGGAAATAGAGAAAGTTAGAAAGCCAAGGCAGGAATTCATCAGCTCTTGGACACAGAAACAAACAAGTTGTAAACTAAATATTTTCAACATTCACAGTCTTTTTTCGTAACAGAAACCACAGGATGCAGTGAAGAGTTTAAAAATACATATGATTATTTTGCATAATAAAATTGGTATGAATAAACACACTGTCACGGTCGTGGGCAGTTCTTTGATGTCAACAGCAGTTGAAGAAGGCATGAGGTGACAAAAATGCACATTACACGATGATGAATCTATTCTAGCATTTTAAAGTCAAGTACTGTGATCTGACATTGATGTTTCTAACATCATATCACTTTCATTCATTTCAATTTCAAAGGTTTCATCTAATGGAGGGTGCTTCCGTAGTTCTCCTCTGATGTGGTGCTTCCACTGCCATGATACTACTTTCTTCTAAGGTTTGCTTTTCTATATCAAATTCCAATACGTCCCACGCAGGTGAAATAATGTTCTTTAATGTCTTCATAGTATGCACATCAAAGTCATAGCATCTTAATTTATCCTTAATTGCAGTTCCTGAAAGAGATTGTTATGTTAATTTCCGCCATGAGATTACTTCCATGTAAAAATACTATTTCTGTCCAGTCCCATAGACTCTTAAAAGACGAAGTTCACTATAGAATCACATAATTGTAGAACTGGAAGGGACCACAGGGACCATCAAGTACACCCCTCTATGATTCATTTTTTACTTTATTATTACATTTTTATCCCACTCCCCCCCCCCACAAGGTGCTCAAGGTGCTGTACATGGTTCTGCTCCTTTCCATTTTATCGTCACAACAGCCGTGTGACATAGTTTAAGCTGAGAAACGGTAACTGGCCCAAGGTCATCCAATAAGCTTCATGGCTGAGTGAGGATTTAAACCCTGGCCCTAAATACATCATAGTGACTGTAACCTGTAGGTCTTTAGATAATTAAGAATGCGCACAGTAATTCCTATGTCAAGAAAGTTAATCTTCTGTTGGTATTTATTTTATGGAACGCCCCCCCCCCCAGTGGCAGCATCATCATTAAACTTTGGCAATTGCAATGGTGAAAGAACTGCATGCAATGCATACTCTACTGAGTAGGGAGGAGCAGAACTAATATTTCCCAAGTTCAACATACAGATTCTTCAGATGGGGCTAAGAAAGATTCCTGTCTGAATCCATGGAGAGCTATGACTAGTTAGTGGTGGACAGCTTAGACAGTGCTGAGTGGTGGGCAGCTACACAGTGCTAAGCTAGGTGAACCAATGGTCTGACCTGGTGTAAGCAGCCTCCCTCTGTTCTTAAACCAAGCTGTAATTTCTTACCAAAATAATTTAATAAAGCCATTGACCTTCTGCCTTCTGGGGGACTCAGGAAATGGTTTACTAGTGATAAGTTTGCCAGTGCTCTTCATGAAAAAAATGTGCTAATGCTCTTCGTGAATGCACATCTGTACTGACAGCCAGTAGCACTGTGGGAACATTTGAATAGCTATAGAGCAGTAACAAAATCACAGCTTACCAATGTAGGCTTCAGAATCACCAATATACATTTCTATGCAATGTCCAAGCATAGTCACTGAAAACGTATCATCTCTTCTAAGACCAAGGGCCTGATTAAAAAGGACAAATTACAAAATCAAGAAAAGTGAAAAATCATACTGAGCACATCAAGCTTGACACCAATTCCACCCCCCCCAATTTTATAAAGATTACATACTGTATGAAAATAATCAATTGCACTTTCAAAATTTCCCATCAGACTGTGAATGTATCCAATGGAAGAATAAGTAGAAGCATTCTGAGGAATCAACACTAGAGCTTGACGATGGTATTCGAGAGCTTCTTCGTACTTCCTATTAAGAAAAACATGGATAAGGATATATTATTATTATTATTATTAATTTATTTATACCCCACCCATCTGGCTGGGTTTCCCCAGCCACTCTGGGCGGCTTCCAACAGAACACTAAAATACAATAACCTATTAAACATTAAAAGCTTCCCTAAACAGGGCTGCCTTCAGAAGTCTTCTAAAAGTTGTTCTCTTTGACATCTGGTGGGAGGGTGTTCCACAGGGCAGGTGCCACTACCGAGAAGGCCCTCTGCCCGGTTCCCTGTAACTTGGCTTCTCGTAGCGAGGGAACTGCCAGAAGGCCCTCGGCGCTGGACCTCAGTGTCCGGGCAGAACGATATTGTTTCATTCACATTGTTAGGAAATACAAATAGTAAACAATTGGCCATAAAAAAACACATGGTATACTGGGCTGGTTCAGATGTTAAAGCACCCTCCTAACATGGAAAGTAATCTCAGCAGAAGTTCTCCTGGCCATTTCAAAGAATCTCAGCTTAGCATTCCATGCAAACCAGGAATACTGGTTAAAAACAAACAATGGTTATTTGTTCAACAAGCTAATTTTAAACCATGGGTTTTGAAGCTGGCTTTTAAATAAACCACTGGATTCACGCTGTAAGGTGAGCGAAGCTGAAATTATTTAAAACTGAAAATAAACTCAGCAGTAGTCTTCCTACCACCTGCATGAGAAAAGAGGAAAGGAGGGAGTGCATGAGCTTGACATTTCTTTAGTGACGCTTGTCCTATATGCTACTAAAACAATGGCTTAGCATTCACGCAAACCAGCCCACAGGGTGAAAAGAAGAATGCAGAAGGAAGGAAGGGAAGCTGTGAGATGAGGTGGGCGGGGGGAGGTGTGTAAGTAGATGTTGGAAAACTTTATCTACGAATTTTGAAGGACAATGAAGTTTCACATCCTGGCCTCAGGAACTCTATGCAGTACCTCAGGTCTCTGAGCTTTCACTGTTCTATCATAAAGACTAGAAGCTTGTTTCTTAAAAAATGCAATAGCTGAGATGTTTAGAATACCATATTCCACAATACATTCCATTTCAATATATAATATGAACATGCCAGATGATAAATATAATTAAATGCATACAGAAGGTTTAGTAAAACTGGAATGCCATACCATTTAAGGATAAATACTTAAAATACTAAGTACTGGTAAAAATCGCTGTTCCACTTACTTAAGCTTTCTGCATACATGCCCCAGATTATTCAATAAAGGTTCCCACTTGTCAACCGTCACCTGCAAGACAAGCATCACATCTAAAGACAAAATTTTAATGCCTCTAAAACAAAATCTTGATTGAAGTAAACAAGCTATTCCATTGGCTGATTAACAAAATATCAACACCCATGCACCAAATGACTTGTTATATGAAAACTTTTGGGCAATACCATAGGTGGGAAGGTGATGATCTGCATATGTATTGCTTCTGGGATATGGGTAGCTTTTAAGCAGAATGCTTGGTGGGATTCTTCAAATGTAGCACTTTGGGGTCGTACTTTCAAAACACAACCCGCTGAGATGAAATTATGGCCAACTCTATATCTATATATATAAATAAAAATAAAAATACCTCATTTCCAATGGCTTTGATCTTTTCTAACGCATCAAGAAACCACTTTTCTGCAGTTTTCCAGCTGAAAGAAAATAAGATAAAACACATTTAGAGGTCTATGTCTTATGCATATGTCTCTCCAAATTAACAGCTTATCTATTTTATTACCTATAGGGCCTTGCGTAAAGAAAATGCCATTAACATGCAGCATTGAAAGATGCCTATGGGATCTCTCTAATTTTTAAAGGCAAAGAAGTATTTGATTTTTTTAAATGATGCTTACTGTTACAATGTAAAAATAATTCCCATGAGATACAAAAGCAGTGATAAGTACTTAGCTGTTTTTTGAAAACCGCATCTGATCACTGAAGGAAAAAATAATATATTTCCTAAACTACAGTTATCAGTGACTGTGATAAGTGGTGTAACTGCCATTGCATTGTCAACATGATATAGTTTATATATGAAATAGTTGAAGTGACACATTAATATTAGTACTAAGTTCATTAAGTGCACAAGTGGGCAGTATAATGGTTTCTAGGTTTTGGAGGGGGAGCTAACCAAGAAAGGAAATTATGTGCAGATATCTGGTACAAAGACAACCCAAAGTTAAAAATAGTAACTTACTCTCCATTTTGAAATGCTACCACTCCAACTTCATGCATCACAAAAGGGTCTTCGGGTGCAATACTTAAAGCTTGGCTGAAAAACCGCTCAGCTAATTTTGAGTTGTTGGTCAAGCCGTACTCCAGCCCAATATACAGCATTGGCAAATGGCAGCTACAAAAATAAAGAACACGGACAGTAATTAAAAAAAAACCTAAGACATGAGGACATTTAATGCAGCACCGCATTTCATTTAAACAACTCTTTGATCTATAGTTTTAAAAATACTGCAAACACTTTTAAATGAGGGGGGGGGGTTAGACAGAATAGTTAAGTTTCCTTGTTTTGACAAGCATATCCATAATACTGCACTAGTAACTAATGTAAAGCTTACTTTCTAAGAGAAATATTAATTTCGCTGCAAACACTGAATACATCTCTGATGGCAGATGTTTTCCCAGTAAATTATTATTTTTGTTTATTTTTCATCCAATATTAATACCCGTTTGCCAAGATGGTTTTATTGAACTACATCCCTATTTCCTGGCAATCTAATTTTGACCTACCCTTTCATCAGCTGGGCTGCAGTGAAGTAAGCAGCCATTGCTTGGTCATGCTCACTTTCAACTGCAAATGAGTGCCCATATGCTATCCATGCTGGTCCATATGTTCTCTCAAGGGTGGTGGCTTTGCTGAAACATAAAAACCAAGTACGTGAAATAAGAGCCAATGAAACCTGCAATGCTAAATGTAATGCTTAAAGCTGTAACTCTGAAGTACAACTACTCTGAGAATAGTTATTTACTGAAGTGTGCCAATTCCAGTCTTCCGGCATATAGAAGGTTGCCTGGACCTTACTTAGTTCATCAGTGCAAACAGTACAAGGTTTCTTAAAATGGTAAACTTACAAGACAGCAACCCTTAGGACTACAGAAGACAAAGTGAGACTTACCTAAGGTATCTTCTGGCGTGTTCATTTTTATGGCCAACCATAAGATAATAACATCCTACAGCAAACCAGGAGACCTAATCGCCAGATAAAATTCAAGACATGTTAAAGCACACTACAGTGGTACCTCGGGTTAAGTACTTAATTCGTTCCGGAGGTCTGTTCTTAACCTGAAACTGTTCTTAACCTGAAGCACCACTTTAGCTAATGGGGCCTCCTGCTGCTGCTGCGCCGCCGGAGCACGATTTGTGTTCTCATCCTGAAGCAAAGTTCTTAACCCGAGGTACTATTTCAGGGTTAGCGGAGTCTGTAACCTGACGCGTATGTAACCTGAAGCATATGTAACCCGAGGTATCACTGTACTGATATGACAATTTTGTATGACCAAGTAAGTCAAACTATGACTTACTGAGACTGTGCAAACATGCAAACATACTGTGCCGTGCTGAGTAAGGAAAAGGTTTGGCTTAGCATGCTGTTTGAACTGCAACTTGCGGTTAAACTCTCTCCTCACTAACCACAAGCAGTAGCCCAAAATAAGCCTTGGTGCAGCAGTAAAAAGGACCAAGGAGAAGGAAGGTGGCTGCAAGCTATTTTCCATGGATCCGGATTAGTAAGCCTTGATTTGGCTTACTGTGTCATGAAAACAAGGCCAATGTACGGGATCGGTTCCATTTAAAATGTAGGAACATCGTGGGTTCAAGCAAACAGCATTAGAAATACGTTCCTTTGATAAGTGCTCTGTATTTATCAACATTTTATCCCTTTCCTAAAGGAAATGGTTTGCTGGACCGTTTCCTTATTTTTGTGGCACGGAGTCCACAATATTTAGTGGCTGAGAAAATGTGACTTTGTTGAGCAGCAGGTATACAATTTGTGATTGCCAGTGCTGTGCGCACTGTGGTTCAACAACTTGTGGATAGCTAATTTGATTCCATGAGTGATGAGTAGTACAATCCCTTCTCTACCATGCCTACTCTATTTGTGAAATTTTTAAGATTGGGGAGGGGGGTCGAAAGCTAAGCATTTTATGTACCATTAAGCTGGGGAATATTCATGTAGCCTATACAGAAAAGTAGTACTACCAATAAGGCTAACATTATAATAAATTATTCATTACCATAATAATGGTAATAGCATTTCACTTTAGATGTATATGCTACTATATGGGTCCTAACCTTTTAAACTTTTATTGATGGCATTCATCGCACATTTATGAAACAAAGAACAGAAGTACAACTTACAGGATTATTTGGGTACAAATCCACCAGTTTATGGGAAAGGTAGAAAAGTTCTAGGAAGAAGAAATATATTTATGTTAAACAATAGTATATATGTAGCAGCTTGTGTTGAATGTTGATAAAATAAAGTGTTATGCCTTTTTGTTCACATTTTTATTGGATTGAAAATGATAATCAGAATAAAGCTGTCAACTGTTTCTCTCAAACTATCCCATATAATATATTCTTATGTTTTCAAGTCTATTTTCAAAGGCGCTCATTCCGGTCATTCACAAGTCATGCTAAGGCAAAGTATGGTTTACCAAAACCATGCAAATGTGTTGGCTCTTGGAGACGAAGGGCACCCGTTTTGCTTCTTGACAGTCCTTTAACCATAGCATGGCATGGCAGCCATGCCAGGGTTTAGCTTAGCATGCCATGTGAACCCAGGATTGTGGCTAAGGTTTCCATATTAACCATAGAGCAAACCTGGGCTAGCGATCATGGCTAAGGAGGAAAGATCTTAATCACAACCTTGCATTTGGGCATCACCATGGTTTAGCTGTTACATGCTAAAAGTTCTGGGCAGGGAGCTCCAGGAGCCAGGACATTTGCGAGGTCCTAATGAGTCACAGTTGGCTTACCATGCCATATGAACCAGGCCACTGACAGCCACTCTAGCACGGTCGGTATATTAGACAATCTTAATATAAAATATTCCGTAGACAATTTTTACTTAACATGTTATGGTTTAGTATAGTAGCTTTTGCATTTAGTAGTGTGGTTTCCAGTTTTCTTTACAATAGGAAGCCAAGAAACAAGGGAATCAGTATTTCTCATCCCTCGGGTGGGCCTTCCACTGAGCAAGATTTCACATTTCATTTAACTATTTTCCACTACGGATGACTCACAATTTTTTTCCTGGCTCTCCACTGAAAGCATACACATTTCTCCTTTAAAAATTAAAAAAGGAGGAGTTGATTTTAAGTATTGTATAATATTAACTACTTAAGTAGCATCTTAATAGCTGCAAATTATAAAGGCATAAAATGCAAATATACTGTCTAACAGGATGAATAACTTTCTGCCTTTAAATGGGAAAATGGACTCATTTCTATTGCAGAACCAGCAGAAATGTGTAGCAGGAACCCTCAATGAAAGAGTGAAATATTGCTATATTAATTTTAGTTAATATCAAATCCATCATATATGGATTAACACACAAATACGGATCCTTATGCTTTCTTTATGACTACCCATCAATATCTGTCTACAAAATCTCATATTTTATTTATTTATTTATTACGGCTTGCCTTCAATGCGGCTTGTCTAGGAGAGGAACAGAATTCTACCCATGCAGCAGGACTTCACCTTCTCTTGCTTTCTCCTAAAGCTCCCCTTGCATCCTAAAATTCTGCTCCAAAAAGCTGAGACACCCCCCTCTGAGTAGATTTTGGGGGTGTGCAGGAGGAAGGAGATGAGGGTTAAATCCTGTTGAATGAGTAAAAAATCTGCTTGTTCTGTGTTGAATCCTGGCCTATGCAGCCAATCCTTCCTCCAAGTGGCAAGACATGGTTCTCTCCTATACTATTTTATTTTCACAACCACTTTGTGAAATAGGTTAGGCTGAGATTTAGAGACTAACCAAGGCCACCCAATGAGCTTCAGGGTGGAGTGGAACTTTGAACACAGCTCTAGAACCCTGGTCCTTGTTCTACTTACTACACCATGCTAGCTTTTAACTCCTGAATTAGAGCTGAAAGGCCTATTCAGGAGTCAATGCAAAATATAAATAAATAAATAAAAATAGACCAGGAATCCCTTTAAAAATAATTAATATTCAATTTGTATTAAAACACCTTCTCACCATTTGCTTTATTCAGCTCCACAAGTGTCCCAATATGCACAGGTAAACAACTGGCATGGAATGGATCCTTTTCCATTACTCTAAAAATAAGCGGAAATAAAAACCCTCAAGGGACAGTAACTTAATAAAAATTGAGGCGCAAATAGATCATTGTTCTTGCAAAATATGGTAGAATTGCTTATTACTTTGTATCCTTCCCATCATACAAAGTACTCAGAGAGGCACTAAAAGACTGTAGTTTTCAGCTCCAGATATTAAAGTTCTCCCCCCCCCAATTTTTTTAAAATAGGAATATAGAAAGGTGCCCTATACTGAATCAGACCATTAATCCATTTAGTTGAGTATTGTCTACAATGACTGGCAACAGCTCTTGAGGGTTTCAGGCAGGAGTCTCTCCCACCCCCACCTGGAGATACTGGGAAACTGAACCCAGGACATTCTGAACATGAGGAACTGAGCCACGGCCCTTTGCCGCTGGGGAAAGAAGATTAGACTCAGCATTCGCTCAACAGGAGGCTCCATCCAGTCATGACTTGCTGACAAATGTTATCTGTGAATACAGTCATACCTCAGAAGTCAAATGGAATCTGTTCCGGAAGTCCGTTCAACTTCCAAAATGTTTGAGAACCAAGGCATGGCTTCTGATTGGCTGCAGGAGCTCCCTGCAGCCAATCAGAAGCCGTGGAAGCCGCGACAGACGTTCAGGTTCCAAAGAACATTCACAAACTGGAACAATCACTTCTGGGTTTGCGGCGTTTGGGAGTCAAAACAGTCTCGCAAGGCGTTCGACTTCTAAGGTACAACTCTACTATTTTACCTTGCTAGACATACTGTACACTTAAAAACACATTGTGTGAAATAGCTTTCTATGTGCCCTGCTTAAAGTTGTCCATTTCCAAATGCACATATTTGGTAAATGAACAGCTAAACCCAGAGCTGTGGAACTTGTGGCCCTCCAGGTGTTGCCAGACCACAACTTGCACTATCCCCAACCACTGTCCCTGCTGGCAGCAGTTTATGGGAGTTGTAGTCCAGCAATATCTGGGGGACAAAACCTTCCCAACCCTGATCTTATCTCATCAAAATTGTCATACAAGACACTTCAATGCACCGAGCCCCAAACATTTATCCCCCAAACCTTTAGTAAAAGACTGAGAAAAGGCTAACAGGCAAGGTGTAACTGATACAATGACAGCTGGTGGGATTCCAAACGGTAGCGACCAACAATTAAGACATCCAGGCTTTACACTCCTCTCTGCTCTATGAAAAGATGCTTTCAGTAAAGAGTGAACAATTATCTACTGGCTTCCACAATTGAGTGGTTTCAAATAAATGCTATTTCGTAACAGGCTGATATATTTACTTACAGAGAAGTGAGCTTGTAGCACATCTTGAAATCGCAGTTATAGTAATGCCTTTCTGCTAAAGACACAACGACATCCAGATTGTCTTGAAGACCATCTACAGATTCAGGGATCAACGTTTCACTGGGTTTATTATACTGAAAGAGAGGAGAAATGTCAATAGAGAATCATGTGGTTGCTCAGATCCATAATACCATTATTGCTAGAGGGCAATGACATACCTCCCCCCGCCCCTATTAGACTTTGGTTCAGAAGCTTCCACTTTGTCTGGAAAGGTGGCTGGCAGGACCTAACAAGATAGCAAGAACCAGCAAATGCATTTTTCTCTAACACCTTCTTTTCAGATGGATGAGGGAGTGTCCATTAAACTGTATTCTTAATCCAAACAAGGCCATGCTATATCACCTATCAGTTGGCTACGGAGTGCCCTGAGACAGGGTATTGCCATTTTAAAAAACAGTGTAAAAGCCTAATAAATTCAAGCAGTCCTATTGTTAAGGGTGGCGACAGGGGTGGGGCAGAGATTGCCATCCTTTCTGTTCACATGAAAGACAATCTACCATGATCATTCCATTCTTCCATGGGTCTCTGTTTCTACAATAATAGCCAGATTGCCTGAATAGACCTATATGGTTTAGGAGGTAGTCTTCTCACACAATGAGGGTGGGAGTAGGGAAAAGGCAGCTCTAGCTGCCCTTCCTGCTATTCATATCAACAGCTATGTATTACAGGGTAAACATCTGCTGTGAGAAGCCTGCTGTACTCATAGAGGCTCCCTGCACAATTAAGGTTCTAAACTGTGTAAGGAGCCTTCGTGAGTATAGCAGACTTGCTGCTGCAGATGTTTGCCCTTCAATGCATGACAAGTGGCAGGGAAGTGTGATGGCAACATAGTGAAAGGCGCATAGCTAGCGAGAGCATCTATGCTCTCCACTGATGAGGTTCTAATTGTGTGAGGAGCAGAGTACTTGCGTAGGGCTGCAGAGTTTTCCAAATGATAATCTGAACCTGATCTTAGCTTTATATTTTGAAAACTGCATTGTTTCCATTATAGCCATTATGACCCTTCTAGAATTATTAAATATATATAGTATATCATATTTGGATACAATGAAAGCTTTTGAGGGGTGAATTCTGATTAATAAATAGTATGCAAGGTCACAGTAACTGATGCTAAACTGCTAAGACACAAAAAGAAGCAAATCATAGGTCCTAAGATGCAAAATATAGGCTATTGGTTACATTAAAGTATATGTAACAGAATTTTATCAAATTTACATTTGAATCAATGTAGATTTCTTTTAAACTACAGTACTATTACCTTTTTTAATTTGTTCTCAAACAGAAAATGTAGCAATACTACTTCTTCTTCTGTACACTGTTTTCCTAGAGGTAGAGATTCCAGCAGCTCTTTTCTGAAAACATCAGTTACAAAAGTGAATTCCAGAAGAATGGTAGAGAATAATAAAAACAAAATAAAACATCAAACATTAAAAACTTCTCTAAATAGGGAAGGTAAGTGATACAATATACTTTGTGGCATTGTATTTGTATGGAGTAATTCATATGGATCAAATGACACATTGTTTGGGATGAAATTTATACAATGGTATAAATGTGATGCGTTATTGTGATGCTTTTTCACTGAACACGAGATTTGTGGCAGGAGCAGTGCTCAGGTAAAAATGTTTCAACTGCTACCACATACAGCATCATAAAACATGTTGCATTGAGATATAAGGTTCTGATATACAGTCAGTCTGTCTAGAGAATTAGGAACACTCTGCTACTTCCTATGTATGTTTACCTGTCTTTGTCTATTCTGCTGGGAGCTGCCCAGAGTGACTGGGGAAACCCAGCCAGATGGACATGGTATAAATAATAAAATTATTATTATTATTCTATAAATATGTCTCCAAAACTTTTAGAACCTGTGCTTCCCTTCTGAATTTCCTCTGCCCTGTGCCTTTCTCCTCTCCTGTCCTGCAAATCTTACAATCTGACACCAATAACCCATTCCAGAAGTGAGCATGTGGAGTTATGTGCCATCATATGCAGTTATGTATCATCGATAGATTTGATTAGCAGTGGAAAATAGCAGGGGGAAAGATTTCCCCCCTAAAAATCACATTCAGTAGCACTTCCTTTTTGGGATGATAAATAGCAGAGATGTGAATCAGTGTCTTTTTTTTCCAGGGAGGCATGAGATCTACCCAGATCTTAGCTGGTAGGGTCGAAGGTTCCTAGAAATTCTCTCTCTCTTCCTGTAATTCCTTCTGCCTTAGAAACACCATACCCAAAAAGGGAGGCTTGCTTCATAATTTAATAAACACTAGCCTGTCCATTGCAGGGAACAGTAGAGAAGCAAGGTGATAATGGCCTTCATATGCCAGTTTGAAGGCTGTATTTTATATTCGGACTGATGAAATGCCTATCACTATGGCAGAAAAGAAGTAAAAGAGGGTTTGCAGGATCACCATCAGTGGGGAAGGTGCTGCTGGTTTTACCCCAACTGCAGCATTGCCTTCAAATTCATTTTCATGGGAAATAAAACAATGAACATTAGCCATTTGCTAATACAAGGAAGGAAAGTAAAGAGTACCACATTCACGGGCGCAACTGAGCTGAGGGCTACCACACTGAGCATGTTGCTATCACATGATAGCAGCAGTGCTGGCTGAGGATCCAGTAGATCCCGTGTCAGCCCAGCCTTTCCTCCACAAAAACACCCTGCTTTGGAGCATTCTGAAGTCTACAGCCACTAGGAACACCACTGCTGGCATCTTCCATCTGTTCCAACTCTGTTTGGATGGGCACACAGGGATGCTCCACGGTGACCGGACTTCCCTGCCAGGGGCAGAGTTGCCTCATTAGTGGAGGCTGGTGGCACCAGACAGTGCTGGGCAGGGGGACACCTCCACTTCAAAAACAAAACACAAAAAACCTCCAGCAAGGAGGATTGTGAGTTTGAGCTGCTCTGTCGGCTTTGGAGAATAACCAGCAAAATTTATTTATTTTGAAAACTGGTATCTCTATTCAATGGCTGATATACCGTATTTTTTGCTCTATAAGACTCACTTTTCCCCTCCTAAAAATTAAGGGGAAATGTGTGTGTGTCTTATGGAGCGAATGCAGGCTGTGCAGCTATCCCAGAAGCCAGAACAGCAAGAGGGATTGCTGCTTTCACTGCGCAGCGATCCCTCTTGCTGTTCTGGCTTCTGGGATTCAGAATATTTTTTTCTTGTTTTCCTCCTCCAAAAACTAGGTGCGTCTTGTGGTCTGGTGCGTCTTATAGAGCGAAAAATACGGTAATTTAATATTTTGTTGATTAAAACAGTTTTTTGGACAAAGAGAAATAATGTTTTAAAACTGGAGGGGTGATGAGAGTTCTCGAAACCTTCTTCTGCTGTCAGCATATGGTGTGATGTTAAAAGGTCAAATGCTTCGAAGCAGTAAACATCGAGTTTCAAGGCCTCTTTGTAGCTGAATGTTGCCAGGGTTCTGTTATCAAGTGCATCATAGATCTTCCCACGCAAAAGGCAAATAGAGCTCTTGATCTGATGGGAAAGGATAGGTGGAGGTCAGAGAAGGAATTGGTGTTTGCAGTTTGATTCTGAGCACAAATTAAAACTTAGAAACAAAAAAAATGCATTTTATTCATCAGATTGGACCATTCACACTGCATAAAATTCATAGTTAAGTGTGTTATACATCTGTACAGTGGTTAACCATGTACAGCCCATGAGGTGTGTACTTGATTCATGTGTGTCTTTACTTTATTTATACAAACACAAACTCTTTTAAAGATGAAATACTGTTTTTACAAAGCAAAAATTTAAAGACATAACACAAGACTATTGCAAATTAACATCACCAGAAAGCCTTCTAGTTCCTTTCCCTGCAGCCTTGAATACATCATATGCTTACATTAATTTATATCTGTCAATATGTTACTCACTGAAGATTGTGAAACCTCCCAGTCACTGGAACAGTCCTTTGGACCACTTTCATCCTTACAATATTTTTCGAACAGTCTTTTGTTGATCGGCTCTTCCATGTCAAGAATATCAAGAGCCTGTTGATATTCTTTTGCAGCGTACTGTACAGAGAAACTCAAAGTTACGTTATGTTTAAAGTGGCAATGCAAAAAGTACTATTTTTTTAAAGAGCTCATCCACCAGCAGGTTATATACCTTACATAATTCATTCTGAACAACAACTTTACACATATAAACACACATACCACTTTTGGTTGTTATACAGGCATATAAAGCCTAAACCCATCTCAACCTCAACACCCACAGAGTTGCCTCTTTTTTGTTAGTTTTTTTTAGTCCCTACATTCTCTATTTCCCTTTAAACCTTTGCCACCATACCAAGCTTTCTGTGCTTATTACTTTGTTCTTCTGTTTCCCACACAACCGTCTTTCCTATTGGGCTTACTGGTGAGTTGCACCAGGGCGCTGGCCTCTCAGGGGCGCCACAGTGACTGGGGGAGCTGCATGGCTTTGCCGGCGGCCTCCCCTTTCCCTGCACACCCGCCAGCTGTGCCCTGTCAACCATATGGCTGGGGGGGGCGTGCAGCTTGCTTCCCAAGCCTCCACAGGAGGAGAGCGATCCCTGCAGAGGCTTAGGATGGAAGCTGCGCCCCACCAACTATATGGCTGGCAGGCGTGCAGCTTCCCTCCCAAGCCTCCGTGGGAGGAGAGCAATCCCCGCAGAGGCTTGGGGAAAGGTCGACAACTTTGGGAAAGGGGGGGTGGCGCCGGAGGGATCTTTGAACCACGCGCAGGGTATGCTTAAGACAGCCCTGGTTTCCCACCCTATTCCTACTGCATATTATTTAGATGTGAGCTTTCAAGAAAGGAATGTGTGTTTTCTTTACAGTGGTGCCCCGCAAGACGAATGCCTCGCAAGACGGAAAACTCGCTAGACGAAAGAGTTTTCCGTTTTGGAGGTGCCTCGCAAAACGAATCTGCTATGGGCTTGCTTCGCAAGACGAAAATGTCTTGCGAGTTCCTGGGTTTTTTTTTCCCTTTTCCCCCTCTTTTTCTAAGTCGCTAAGCCGCTTATCTGCTTATCAGATAAACTGATAAGCTGCTAAAAGCCGCTAAAAGCCGCTAATAGCGCTAATCCGCTAATCCCATCAATGGGCTTGCTTCGCAAGACGAAAAAACCGCTAGACGAAGAGACTCCCAGAACGGATTCTTTTCGTCTTGCGAGGCACCACTGTATTCAGTAGTGTTAACTGTCCTGAATCTTCAATAAGCACAGCTTTAAAATAATTATAGCATTTAAACTACCATTTGAATTGCAGTATATTTTAAGCTAGCAGGTACAAAATTGTTCAGGTTTTCACATTTCTATCTCAGCTGCAGAAATAATCCCTTCTGCCATGTGATTTTCTTATACATACTGGCTGCTTAGTGAAGAATCATTCTAATGTAAGTAAATACTTACATGACATCTAGCAGCAAGGTATCGACATGCTTCATATAACTAAGGGAGAAATTAAAATTGTTTAAATAATTTTGCACTTTGAAAAGGTATAACTTTTTAAAGAATAAAGATGGTGATGCCTGACATAGCATTGTGATTCTTATACTTTGTACTTTCAATTCATGAGTCTGTTTATCATATTTTGACCAGTTCCTTTAATACATTCTGCATGCCAAGAGTCAACTCTTTCATTGCCTTTCTAACTGAACTGCTCTCTATCATCTCCCTTCTGCCAACATAGATCCTGCTGACTTAATTAATTTTGAAAGAATCCTATTTATCTATGTATTAAAAGAAAGAAAAAATCTAGGAAACAGAAGGAATGTTTTCAATAAAAATTGTCTTATGCTACTTTGCTTTTCTGTAACCACTACCCACCGCTGGCTTCAGCAAGACACCTGTGAGCAAGTGAGCAGTTTATGTTACCACTTCTATGCTATTTGTATTTCTTACTTTACTCCCATTACTTCTACAGTACTGCAGTATTGGCTTAACTGCTATCAGCACCTACAATTTTAATAGTTCCTCATGTTCTATTCCATCTTATCCCCATTTGGTGCTTTGACTATTTTCTCATATGTTACCTATTTCATAAATTATTACAGAAGGTGTAGCAACCAGCATGCCTGACAATGCTCGACTTAGCAACTTGTACAACAAACCGAAAAGGCTAAAATGGAAGAAACAAGACTGGTCTGCAGTATCTTACCTTATCTAGTTTTCTTGACCTAAGGGCATGTGCTGCCCTGTGGTACTGAGCTGTGAGGTAAAGACACTGAGCCAGCCAATAGATATCCTGTGGGTCTTCTAAAAAAGAAATAGCCACACAACTTTATTAAATATGATCCCCCTCAAAACTCATGTGCTTTATCTTGCTTGTATGGGATATATTTCATTCACAGCATGTTAAAAAAACCAGCAACACTTAATTTACCAAAAGCAAGTATTTCTATAACTGATAAATTAAAGAACAATAAAAAATCCTATCTTTGTCAACCTGAGAAAAATGTCTAAGCACTAAGTTAAACCAACCATTAGAATTTTGCATTGCATTTAACAGTCTTTTAGACATAAGGGTGTAAACAATGGCCACATGACTGCAATTTTGGAGATAATGTGAATCATTTACAAGCATTACAAACATTTACTAGGGAAATAGATATACTACCCTGCATATTCACTGTCATTTTTATACACCAATGCAAGCCAGATCAGAGTTACTGTATCTTGATGATGGTGAAACACCACAGTGTTGAAAGTTTTTATTCATATAAATCAGTTATGGGAAATCTCTGGATGTGGACCTGCTATACCTCCCCATCTGGCCCACCAGCAGGTTTCCAACAAGTCACACCCTCCTGCTCTGCATGTGATGTTCTATATGACATCAGTTGTAGGGCTGGTAAATATTTCTCTCCCTGATAAAAGTGAGGTTTGCAAGCACAACCCATCACCAATCAGCTGACCATGAGTGCCTGCAAAGCGCTACACCATAGCTGTCAACTTTTCCCTTTTCTTGTGAGGAATCCTATTCGGAATAAGGGAATTTCCCTTAAAAAAAAAGGGAAATGTTGACAGCTATGTGCTACACTATGCAAGTGCTGTTGAAAAGCTGATTATTGATGTTTGCAAAGTGCTGTGCCTTTGCCTGTGCAGTTTGATTTCAAACTGTGCTGGCAAAGGAAAATGGGTCCCCTGATGTCACTGTGAGATACAGTAGTTTGGTTTACAGGTGGGCAGACCCACCCACCTGTCAAGCTTTGCCTGCAGGTGGTGGAGCAAGTAAGGATCCTTCCTGCTGGCTTGATCCAGTTTCCCACCTCTGCTGTAAATACAGTACTTCAAAGTTATCAACCCAAGCAATCCAAGCCTGAAAGACATGTCATGGTCATTCTGAAGAAAAATAAACACAACATAGGAAAGGGAAATTCATTTAGAAGACACTTCACAAAAATAGTTTTAGAAACGTTGACTTCTGTATAATTTAAGTTAAATATGTAACTTACCATGAGACAATGAAGCTACTTTATCTGCCCAAAACAGAGCACTTTGATACTGTTGCTGTTTTTAGGGGCAAAGAAAGAACAAGTATTACACATGTTTTTCCTATAACAAATTGTATTGATTACATTTGATTCCCACCCTTTATCCAAGGGACTCCAGGCAACATACACGGTACTCTCCCCTGCTGTCACCTCCCAGTTTTATCTTTTTATCTACTCTGTGAGGTAGATTAGGCTAAGATAGTGTGACTTGGCTCATGGTCACGCAGAGAATTTTGTAGATGAGTGGGGATTTCAACCTATGTCTCCTTAGTCTTTCTCTAATAAAACTGGATTATTGCTTATACAAATAAGCAATGAATTTTTACTTGTCCACCAGGAGAGAACCAATCTGGTATTACTATATATACAATCCATTTGATCATTTTGCAAATGAAGAATTGAAGCTAAATGACCCGCCCAGAACTACCAACACTTTGAGACACTGAACTATCGCCAAGAGAAGGCCTGTCACTTTATATTGGAAGGGCCTCCTGTACGTTTAACTACAGCATGTCGGACAGAAACTGTGCCCCTCACTGAAACCGCCTCTCTCCGCTAGAAAAGGCACATAGCTTCTAACAGGTAAGTAATGTGGTGATGGCAACCAGGGACTGGTAGAGAGAAAGAAAGACAGGTGAACAATAGGTGGAGCCAGAGCCAACAACAGCAGGCACATCTAGCTAATTCTAGTTTGATAGAATCATAGAACCTGTAGAGCTGGAAGGGGCCACGAGGGTCATCTAGCCCAACACCTTGCATGGGCGTAGCCGGGATTTATGTTGGGGAGAAAGGCTTTAGGTTGGCGGGCGGGGCAGAACCGAGCTATTAGTTAAGTATTTCTACTCATTTACAGTGGTACTTCGGGTTACATACGCTTCAGGTTACAGACTCCGCTAACCCAGAAATATTACGTCGGGTTAAGAACTTTGCTTCAGGATGAGAACAGAAATCATGCTCCGGCGGCGGCGCAGCAGCAGGAGGCCCCATTAGCTAAAGTGGTGCTTCAGGTTAAGAACAGTTTCAGGTTAAGTACGGACCTCCGGAACGAATTAAGTATTTAACCCGAGGTACGGCTGTACTTAAAAGGGAATGGTGTGGGTTGGGGGGATAAGGTATTTATTTTGCAATGCAGATACTAATACATGGGGCTTCTTTTGCAGACAACTGCACTCAACTTGTGATAACAGTGCAAAGTTCTTAACCTGAAGCACTATTTCTGGGTTAGCGGAGTCTTTAACCTGAAGCGTATCTAACCACTGTACTTGATTTAGGTCACGACTCCCCTGCAATGCAGGAATCATTTGCCCAACGTGTCCCTAAGAACCCACGACCCTGCTGAGATCTACAAGGGCAACACCTTAGGAAGTGGCAGCTGACTGCCTGCACCAACCCTTAGGCTGGCTGCAAGTAAAAAGAAGGCAGGCAATTGGGGGGGGGGGTTGGAGAGGAGGGTGAGCTGAGGCTGAGCTTCCCATCCAAAAAAAGAGTGGGCGTCGTTGGCGGCCAAGGAGCGACGTTGGGGACCCCGAGAGAACGACGGGGGGGGGGAAGTGTCTCCCCACCTTTCTCGCCTTGGCTCACCTGGTCTATGTACTGTCTCACCCGCTTCCGGAGGCGTTCCAGGTTCATTTCCCCGCAGAGACCCCTCGGGGGAAGCCGGACGGCGAAGCCGCCTCCGCTGTCTCGCCTCGAGCTCCTTCACGTTAAACAACCGCCGCTCGCGGCTCCTCTGACAAGGTCCGTCGGCAATAGCGCTCCCCCGCGACATCGCCTCGGTGCAACAGTCATAATTGCACCCTCGGAAACGCCGGCCCTGCGCGCGACGTTCCGGCAGTTCCTCGAGCCGTGGAAAATACAAACAAACCGCTGGCGTTTTTAAATTTGCACAGAGCGACCTACGGGGGCGGGGTAAAGTATTGTTTAGGCGGGCGACGGGGTTATCGCTGCTGTTGATATTGGTTTTTCCGTATGCCCTCCCCCCCCCCAGATCTTATGAAATATTGGTTTGTTTATATTTATTTGATGGATTGATTTATATACCGCCCTTCATCAGGGGGGTTCACAGACAGAGCCTGATTTAGGTTTGATGAGGCTCTAAGCTACTGAAGATAATGGGGCCCTTTATATGTCCAGAGGTCCTTTGTCAACAACAATTTTTCGCTGTTTTTTGTGTTGAATAGATGCTATATGGTAATTCATGGACCTAATAGGTATCTAAAGCTATTTGCACATAACAAAATAGTGTCGTTTTTATTTTGTTTTTGATCTTCTATTTTGGAAATATACATCCAGTTTTTTCCCCACTTCAAATTTTTTTTGGGCCCCCAAGAGAGTGGGGCCATAAGCTATACAGTGGTACCTTGGGTTACAGACGCTTCAGGTTACAGACGCTTCAGGTTACAGACTCTGCTAACCCAGAAATAGTTCCTCGGGTTAAGAACTTTGCTTCAGAATGAGAACAGAAATCGTGTTCCGGCGGCGCGGCGGCAGCGGGAGGCCCTATTAGATAAAGTGGTGCTTCAGGTTAAGAACAGTTTCAGGTTAAGAACGGACCTCCAGAACGAAGTAAGTTCTTAACCAGAGGTACCACTGTAGCTTGTTTAGCTTATACGCAAATCCGGCACTGTTCACATATACAGGATAAAATTCTAAATCCCATCATCCCTGACTACTGGCTAGCTAAGGCTGATGGAAGCTGGAGTCCAAAAACATTTAGAGAGCCACCAGTGCCCCATCCTTTGTGCACCCATTTTCTACAACCAAGCCTATTCCATTTGTTTTGGTAGCAGCCCTTCATCTGCATGTAACCTGATTAATCAAGATGGGGTCTCAGAAGCTGGACAGGTTTGGGCCATTACATTACCACCTAAGTTTTTGTAGCAGACTTCAAAGAGAACACTTCATCTTTGCTGTCACTGGAGGAACACTTTAAACATTTTATGAAGAAAACTGGCCTTTATTTCGATAGCACTTACTTTCAAGTAGTATGTTTCAACTTTTGTTTTTATCCAATTCCACTTTACTTCCACTAAGGGAACTCAAAGCAGCTAACATTAGATACAAATAATCAAGACAATATAAAGAAGCATGATAAAATAATAATAATAGTAATACCAATAATACTACAAATGAACTGAACAGATCATCAGTTCATCTTTTCCCAAAGTCTTCTTAAGAGTCAGGTCTTCATTTGGCACCACAAAACATGTAGTATGTGGGAATGTCAACATTATTTTATTTCTTGGCTGAATATCTTCTTTAGTTACTTAATTTCTCTCTACATAGCTTGACACAGGGAGTCCTAGGATGCTGATTGAGAATCAAAGGTGGATTGTAGGTTGAGACTGGTTGAAGAGCACTAACTAATTTCCTGCTCAGCTAACCCCCAACCCTAAGAACCAGAGGCATGTGCCTCTGCCACTGAAGGTTGTGCAGATGGGAATGTCACCCTCAGGCTGAGAAAGGTTAACCTTCCATGATGTAGACTAACTCAGTGCCCCCCAAACCAGGCACTCAGAATAGTTAAACAGATTATATGTGAGATGTATAAATCATAACGGATGGAAGCAAGATGTTTCAGTGATAATTGAATGAATTTGGCTCATGAATGGAGAATCTCCCTTAAGTGTGAATAAAACCCTGTTTATAACTATTTGGGAAAACATTTCCCCCCTGGTAATTTTATTATTATTATTGTAAGTTTTGTTTTGGTGGAAATTCTTCATCTTTGGCTGTAAGTCAAAACCCAGATCCCAGCATTGCGGGGGGTTGGATGAGATGATCATTGTGGTCTCTTACAACTCTACAATTCTGTGATTCTATATAATTCACCCAACCGTGCTTTCTTGGAAGTAATTCCCACTACGTAATTTCAATTGGATATACTTTCCAAGTACTTGTAGGATTGCTGTTCTGGCCAGCTTGCTTATATGCTATATCTAAGAAGAATGTCTAGAACTTATTACAAATAAAGATTCTAATATCTACCCTTAGTATAACCAAGATAATTTCTTAATTATGCATCCCCTTATATCAGGTCTTCCGTTTAGCAATATCCATTATCTGGAGTGTCATCTTAACACATGGAATCACACTTTTTCTACTGGATTTTCTCTTTGGTGATCATTACTTGGTTTTTTATTTGATGAATCAGTTCTTCTTCCTCTGGTTCCTCTGCTTTGTTTGTCACACACCTATCTTTCAGATCTCTTTTTTTCTTTCTGTCTCTTTCTGATGTTGTTTTCTTTAATTTTAGTTCCTATGGAGGGACAAATAAATGATAAATTCATGTTCCACTAAATAGATGAATATTTTTAGGTAGATTTTTGTACGACTGCTGCAAAAAATGCTAAACTACTAGACCCTTTAAACTCTAAGAACAAAATATTATTAATCACAACTGTAAAACAAAACAAAACACCAATGTATTAAACACCAAGGAATTTAAATCAATAAATTGTTCTCTTTATTTGCCCTTTAGACGTCACATTAGGCTATATCTTGCACTGAGCTTTTATTTATCATTTTTGTTGCTCAGACCTGTTTTCTCAAAGCACATGCCATTGCAATCTGAATTGAAATATATGGTATTTACACCTGAGGTGTGGGGATTACTAGTTTAGTTTTCTTGTAAAAGCAGCAATTCATGGGCTGAAGAATTTGAGTTTCAAGAACGTTTTGCAATTTGTGATAAATGTAAGATAGATGGCAGCTTTGCAACTTGAAATTCGTTTCTTATGTGTTGCATTTAAATCTCCCATTTGTTGCATGAAGATAACAGGCTTAAATCCTTCTTAGGGGAAGGTGCCTTTCCTTTTCTCCAATGTCTAAAAATTGCTTCTGCTGGTCTTTGAAGCCAGACCTGAAAGCATTACTCAAGAACATAAAAGCTGACTTTAGAGGGATGGGGAAGGCAAATGGACTCTCTCATTTTGGTGCTAATGGTATACTTCAGCAGAAAGAAAAAAAGCAGGAGTTAGAAAGATAAACGTTCTTCCTCTGACTAAGGAGAAAAGTGTACAGTACTGTATGTGCAAACTGTAACCCTAAGATGTAGGGCATTGGTTCTCAAACTTTTATTTTCAGAATAAAAATTTGCTTGCGCCACACCAAATATTTGTTGATAAGAAATATTGGAAAACAAAAATAAATTCCTAGCAGTGTTTCATTTATAACACAGAACACAACTACTTTATAATATGATCATAGGACATCCAGAAAGTTTAAAACAATTCAGCTACCTAAGAACACTGAAACACCTTTGGTGTAGGTAGAGCGTACAGATTTTTAATTCACGTTTTCTGATGCTCTGGTACATATGCATGGAGTTTTGAGCATAATATATTTCTGTGTCCTATTTCCTTTAGTGTACTGTGTGAGCTTCAACTTGCATCATTTAAAATCTCAACACTGCCTATCAGTTAGCTTCTGTAAACTGCCATATTAATTGGCCCAACAGTAGAAATAATAACAAGGCTAAGCAAAAATTGATACTGGAAGCAAATGCTGTTTCCACACACATGCAAAATGTAGTTCATAATACTGAACCAACTGTTAATTGGAGCTGTGTCTATGAAATTATGTAGACAATATTCTTGCAAACAGATTTGGGTCCATGTGCATTTTTCCTACCTATGATGCATCCTTTCTAGCTTAATTAAATTGGCTGAGAAATTTTACCTGTGGTATGATTCTGTAACGTTTAATCAATTGATTACTGTATTTGTTTAATCTGGAAACAGAAGACCAGGAGATAGGGACCCACTGAAGAAATGTGTACACTGAAGAAATGTGTACATATTTTAAAACCGGACTTACCTTTTGATCCTGCAACTTGCACAACCCACGAGGATATCTTGCAATACTGTTCATGTAGTTTTCAGCCTTTTGCCACTCTTCATTCCACTTTTGGACCGTATACTGAGGTTTGCAGTTCATAATTCTTTCCAGAATGGCATGATTCTCCTGGCTTACTTTTCGAAATTCTCGTTCTCGTCTTTCTCTATTTAAGCTAAAGGGGGGAGGGTATTATATACTGTTGAAATAAAGTCTCTAGCCATAGCATGGAGGAGAAATACACCTATAGATATTTTTGGCAGCTACAATGCTTCATGTGCAGAAGAAAACGAAGATTAGTACAATAAAAAAAAAACAGACATAAATACCATATACATACATAC